CTTCTGGGTGAGAGAATGTAATTAAAATGATACAACAATTGAACAAATATTGGCCTAAATGCAATTAGCAGGTGAGAAAAGGTGGGAAGAATTGGGATTAGTGCGCAGTGTCTGCAAAATGCACTTCTCACGAGAAGTGGGATCAACTCATGTCACTTTTAGCTGCCTTTTTTCATCGTGATTTATTTGCAGATTTCAGCCTCTTGAAGAAAAGATAACCGCGCGCGCCATTTCTTCCTGACACTCGTGTTGCATTTTTATGCCCTTGTAAATTGAAATCCTCAAGATAAGATCGAGTCAGAAATCCCTCAAATTGTCTCACTTTGTCGAAGACTCACGCGAAAATCCCCCAAACAAGCCAATAGACTGCCACGATATGTATCGTCGCATAAAACGTACCTTTATTCATCATTTCCGCATTTTATCGCGACTGCGAATTAATCAGTTGAAAAAATGCGACAAATTGAGAGTTTTGATAAGACGCTGATAAAGTGCAAAACAGTGCAAATATGACCGTGTCTCGCTGGAAAAAAATGCCAATGACCCTCAATCTTCATATTCATTCAACCTGGATGATAAAAGTTCTACCAGAGATACTCGAAGTTGGTCATTAAACCCGCCGTGTCAGTCACCTAAGGCACAATTTTTTCGCCAACACCGCTTTTTCCCAGCGAGACAACTTTGCGCCCCACCGTGATTAATTGCCACGAGTCAGCATCGATGGTCAACACTTGGAAATTAGTGTCAATTGTTGCAGGTTTAGCGCTCATGAGCTCGAGAGCTCAAAGGGTCTCCTTAAGATTGATTTTGACTGGCAAATGTTGTCGAAGCTTAAGCAAAACATTTGTTGCATGAATTGCATGAGTTTAGAGATTCATCATCTTGAAGTATGTGAAATTATTATCCGGATTTGCAGACAAAGATCAGGGAAAAATAATAAGGCTAATTCATATATAGAATCTGTTGATTATACGCGAACTCAGTCCGTGATTATCAGACTTAATCAGTGATTCCGTGTAGTTTTTAATCATAAAAATATTATTTCTTACAATTCAAGTTAAAATCTTTGCTCATAAACAATTTGCGGTATTTTGCCCTGAAATCCTCTCAAGCTTTCAAAGCTCTCGGCGATGATCGAACATCTTAGGCTACAAACTATGCCTTTCCCCTACTTTGAGCCACTATTCACAGGCATTTGGCATTCTTCTCGTTGCCATTTCATCTTCTCCTCGTCTTTCTCCTGCACTTTGTCTCCATCGCGTGTATTATCTAACAACTGGTTGGCTTTGACTACGACAACGATCATCGCGGAGCCTCTTTCACGTTTTCCCTTTTCACCCATGGAAGGCGAAACTCTCATGATCAACGGCGATTTTTCATCTTCATGAGCCAGACTTTTGCTCTTTGGAAGCACTGTGTCAGTGTGTCAGTTGGACGCTCGATCACGCTCTCGCGATCACCGATCACATAATATCTCCACTGTTCTCCACCTCCCAATAAATGTGTGTTTCTTCACATAAGAGCGGGAGGGCGTGAGTGTGCGAGAGAGAAGTGGATTCAGTGCCAAATTAGTCCAAATGCATTTTTCATTTTCATCGAAAAGAGAAATGAAGTTGCAATAAAAAAGAGCCAAGTTAATCCGAATGAATGCGGGGTGATTTCACTGCAAAGTTCGAATGAGAGTGAGAGTGAATTTCACATTGTTTTTCCATTTCATTTCATGCAACAACATCAGCCAGATTGACTGGAAAAATGCCTCCTTTTCGTTGGGTGGCGAATGGAAAAAAAGCTATGCATCAAAATATGGGTTAATTGTGTGAGAAATTGTACAATTTTGTACATTAGATAATAATAACCAAGCGCGCGATACAATTGCATCCAATATTATTGTAATAGTCAAAGAGAGCTGCAGGGAGACACGATTGGGTTGTTGTGAATTTTTTTTTCTCTTTGATAAATTGCACATCATTTTATTGAAAATATCACTGTTTAAACTGACAATCACACAATTACTAATGATCGCGCAATTTTAAATGCATTTCGCATGAAAAGCCGATCGCGCAGCTGCGTTGGAAGATGCTTTCTGCACAGAGATTTGACGATCGTGCAAATTTAGAATAAAAGTAATTGTTTGATTATTTTTTTTTTCATAAAATTCTCAACAACACAATTTGCAATTTATTGGCAGAAATGTTATTTCTCGCAAATATTACTGCTCCGCAATGTTGTTTTCTTGCTTTGTAATGGGGCAAAAAAGGCCTCAAACTACGCGATCACGAGTGATCAGTGCTGTCGATCACCGTGGCGATCACTGAATTTACGAGAATTCCTGCAAAGTCGAGGCAGCGAAAAGCCACTAAAATACCAACCGTTACGTGATCGCGAGATAAAAACCTTAATTCTGTTCTACTGGCAGAGTAATTAAAAGGAACAAATTTATTTGTTGGCCGGAGCAAGATTGGAAAAGTCTTGCACGAACATGGAAAAAAGTGCTGGAGTGAGCATTTTTGCCTCCTCAAAGGCACATTTTATGTAATCGCCATATAATTTAGCACAATTAAATGGCACTTATGATTTTCTAAACATGATCATTAACCCGATGATCGGTGGTGCCACCTGGTGGGGCGGTCGTGAGTGTGTGGGTAAACGTCATAACACTTCCTACGATCACTGACCTACTTTGCGAGTCGTGATGGTGATTTGCATAAATAAATATATGAGAATTCTCAGGAGGAAACAAAATAAATAAAGTTCGAGGAAAATTAATTAGACGAAAAATTTCCCTATTGTCAATCGATTAAAATGCTAAATACTCGCCTATTCTACTTGGCAAATGCTTGCCAACTTAATTAAGAGCGATCGAGTATTAGAAATTAATTAATTCTTCACTGCCTGCGGCTTCTTTCCTGCCATCGGCGCGCGATCGTGGCGAGAATCATCAAAATCACGATGTTGAGTGACACAGAGAAGGAGCGACAATGGCTGGAGTGCATTAATGAAACGTGCAATTAAACTGATGCCTCAGCTGTGATTCTCAAGTTGATCATCACAAAATGCTCTGTTAATTGCCACGAGGAAATTGAGAAAGCGAGCGCTGCGATCTGAAAGAAGAAACGTCATCCAGTCAGGAAACTCCGCCCATTTGTATGCTCCGCCCACTAGTATATGATTTCCATGAAAAAAAAACTCCTTCAGTGCTGTTGAGAATTATGTTGAACTCTCAGATGATCTCCAAAATACTCGTCATCGTGCAATGAATACAATATCAGCAAGTTTTGTGGAAAAACAACAGCAATATAAACTCACGATCCCCATGAAATACGGTCACTGTGTGACTGAACGACGCTGGTATTGTACATAAAAAGTGAAAGTCTTCGCGGTACAGACACAGGCGATCGTACACGATCGCTTGTGTTGAATATGCCTTTTTTATGTGCCTCTTCTATATGTGGTGCTGTTTTTTTTCGTCATTTTGCAATCGCTTGGATTTCACTTTCATGATGTCGTTTTATGTGGTTCTCCAGCATTTCAGGCGCGCTTCTCGAGCCAGCGGAAAAGATCGGCCTCATGATTCAGCGGTATTTTGGCCAGAGAGAGAGGGAGGGAGTGAGATCTTCCAGGACATCTTGCGATGCGATGATCGGATAGGGAGTCACGATTGTTGGGATTTTGAAAGTCTCTTTTCCGCTCTGTCACAGCGATTCTGTCGATTGTGCTGACATAGTTTCATGTTTGGGGCTCCTACATAATTATTTATTGTTAATTCTACGCCAATTGGCAGTCACGAGTTGTGGAAAAATGTGTGAAGAAGGGTTGGAATTGCACAATATGCGCCTGAGGAATGAATCTTCATCTGACAGGATTTTTATTCTCGCTCTGCCTTGGGGATTAGTTTTCTTCGCATCTTTGGCGCTTGTGAATTAAATTTCCATTTCAGCCATTTCGAGAGACGAAGAAGGCGTACAATGAATTGGAATTCACTGGGGTTTTCTTCGTGTGAAATGGCGCCATTGCATAAGGCGAGCGACGTCTCTGCTTGGCCCAGAAGATCGCGACGCACTCCCATGAGAATCTGGGCGATCGTTTTCACACATTATTTGCAAATTCCGCCTGAGTTTGGTGAGAATTTTCACTCCGGCGCGTTCGCACTCCTAATTAGTGGCATCGAGAATTTATAAATTCGGTGCAACATCGCCATTGTGCTCCGGTGGAGACACTGAGGCAGGGCGTCGAAGAAAGTGGGTCAGTGAATCCCCGCCAAGAGTCTTTTCTTCGCGATCGCGCACGATCGAGTGTTTTTCCAACACGTGTGAGCCGGTTTATTAGCCAACCAACACAGTCGCGCAGTGCCTGGACAAAGAAGATGCTCACATGGAGGAATTCCTGGCTCAGGGAGTCGCGCAAAATCCCAGGTGGGCGGAAGATTAATGCCCTCTCTCACTCTCGAGGGCACTCCCTGATCCTCCGTGGGCGCCCGATTATTCTCTTCTTTTCCTCTGGCCATCAATCATCGCAGTGTCTTCAACAGCAGCAGCGCCAAAATTTCCGTTGAACGCCAGGAGGAAAAAAAAGAGGCAGAAGCGCGCGATTGAAATGCAGAATTCATCCAGTAGGTCGATCATATTTTTTTTACCATGCATTCGAAAGTGAAACTTCTCATTTATTGTTATATAACCCAGCGCACATAATGGCTTTAAGAGTGTTTTGCTATGTGCCACAAACACACATTTAGCCATCTCCACGGCGATCTTCCACGATCTCGACAATCTCGCGCTTTATTCATGACTCATAGCGTCCACCAGGCGCCTCCATGTGCCGTGGGGACGCCTGGTGGCCGAAGCTCTTGCCAGCTTTTGCGCGAATTGCATTGCAATCATGCGAACAGCAGTTTTCGTTGTGCTTTTCTTAACCCTTCACGCAGTTTTCTAGCTAATTTGGTAATGAGAAAAAATTAAAAATTTGAAGATAAAATTAAGATCCATGTTAAGATTTTTTTCTGATTTGGCATATTTTAGATCCTGGAAAAAAGAATTTTATTTGCACTATAATATCTTTATTGCACTACAAGTTCATCAATTTCTTACAATTTCAGTAAAATTAAATATCCAACACATTTTTGTTATATATCAGATCTTAGCTAATTCACTGACTTTCACGTTTTCAGGCAAATTCCCAGAACTCCTGTTCATATTGAAGCTCACGCGATCCTTATACATGTACACCATATCTTTGAAGAACTTCTTAATGCTGAACGATTGGATGACCGTGAAGGCTACAGGGCTGTTTAGCTTGGGACAAGTCTCCACAGTCGAGGCAATTCCAATGCCAATGTATTCATTGCTTGAGATGAGAAAGGAACCCTCAGTGGGTAAACAGTAAGTATCTTGCAACTGGAAGAAGTCTTCCAAAAAAGGCTTTGTGCACATCATTCTAAAAAAAAAAGAAAGAAGAAAACGATCAAATCGATGAATAGTCGAGACACAAAAGCTTCGACGACTGTTGCAGACGCTCACCTTTTCTGTGAAAGTGAATGGACGAAAGGTGTATTTTCATATACTTCGCGACATGTTGTTATGTGCACCGGAAGAGACTGCTTCGATGCAAGAATGGATTCTTCCGTGTAGTTGACAAGCGGCCATCCTACAATCGTCAGATTCCCTAATTCCTTTACTGGTATCAGCGGTTCGTCCCAATTGAGCGGCCTCACATTCACTGAAAATTCAATGTTGTCGAAGAACACAACGCCAACATTGTATTCGAGGGTCCTGGTATCGAATTTCGGATGGTAATCGTGATCGAGAATAGCGTGACTGTGTCCACAATCATGGCTACTGACACTTCCCACTGTCATAGTAAACTGGGAAGTAAGAAAAGGAGTCATGCGGGATATTAGAGATGATTTAGACATTCTTACCTTCACATAAGGTCTTTGGTAGATGCATTTGGCCGTTGTTGCTGCCAAGTACTTCGTGAGGATCGCAGCGGAACACAAGTATTCTCCGTCATACTGCAATCCTGCCATGAAAGGGAAATCACGGATTGTTTCACTGTTCTCCGAAAACTCATCACAGCAATTGACAGTGAGAATCACAGACAGGGAAATGCAGCAGAGGAAAAACACCTTCATTGTGAAATTCTCCGCTGAAGTGTGAAAATGTGCGAAGAGCAATGATTTTTATAACAAAATTCAAAATTTTGAAGAATGTGCCAAGCAATAAAAATGCAGAATGACTATTTATGACTCTTCCTCGAACACCTTATCAGTTAGCATTCATTTGAGAATCTCTGAAATACCAAAAGAACCACAACTCTTTTACTTACTCTAGGCCCTCTAGCCTAGAGTGACAAATCAAATCGACCAATATCCAAACCGCTTGTCTAGAAAGTCTGTAAAAAATTTATTTTTCTTCTCTTCATGACGATTACAGAGCGCTTTTCATCGCAAAATTTACTTTACACGTCAAAACACGAACGAAATTCATCTTTGGGTGATGCTGGATGTCTCATCGCGACAATTGATAGCGTGAATTGTGCAGAAACATTAATGATAGACGCATGTCACTTCCTCCTTAAATTAGGCGCACACACACGAAATCCTGGAGATGAGTTGTTAATGACTCGATTGGCATAAATACTAGAGGGACAACAGAGAGATTAGCGCGGGGATCTATAAGTTAGCGATTAGGAGTATAAAATGCTCGTCTTAGACGCATTCGCCTTCGATCTCGTCGGCCACCTCGTCCTGCTCGAACTCATCCTCGGCCGTGGCCTCCTGATATTGCTGGTACTCAGACACCAGGTCGTTCATGTTGCTCTCGGCCTCCGTGAACTCCATCTCGTCCATGCCCTCGCCCGTGTACCAGTGCAGGAAGGCCTTGCGCCTGAACATGGCGGAGAACTGCTCGGAGATGCGCTTGAACAGCTCCTGGATGGCCGTGGTGTTGCCAATGAAGGTGGACGACATCTTCAGACCCTTCGGCGGGATGTCGCACACGGCGGTCTTCACGTTGTTCGGGATCCACTCCACGAAGTAGCTGCTGTTCTTGTTCTGCACCGCCAGCATCTGCTCGTCCACCTCCTTCATGCTCATGCGTCCACGGAACACGGCCGCCACCGTCAGATAGCGCCCGTGGCGCGGATCGCACGCGGCCATCATGTTCTTGGCATCGAACATCTGCTGCGTGAGCTCAGGCACCGTGAGTGCGCGGTATTGCTGGCTGCCGCGGCTCGTGAGCGGCGCGAAGCCGGGCATGAAGAAGTGGAGACGCGGGAACGGCACCATGTTCACGGCCAACTTCCTCAGGTCGGCGTTCAGCTGACCCGGGAAGCGCAGGCAAGTCGTCACGCCGCTCATCGTGAGTGACACCAAGTGGTTGAGGTCTCCGTAGCTCGGATTGGGCACCTTCAGCGTGCGGAAGCAGATGTCATACAGCGCCTCGTTGTCGATGCAGTACGTCTCGTCCGTGTTCTCCACGAGCTGGTGGATGGACAGCGTGGCGTTGTAGGGCTCCACGACGGTGTCCGAGACCTTCGGAGAGGGCACCACTGAGTAGGTGTTCATGATGCGGTCGGGATACTCCTCCCTGGAAAGAAGAAGCGCGTCAGCATTGGTGTCAGAAGTGGAATAAAAACCCAAAATATTGCAATAGATAATACTGATCCCTTTTGCAATAATAATTTGCATTAAAGAATCACAAATTGTGTTGTCAAGCCATCAATCTTAGCTTTCGCAATCACGATCATCAAGGTTAAAGACACGTCAAAATATTTTCGGTCTTTGTTGCCCAAAAGCATTCAACAGTTCTTTGACTCTCCAAGAGCCGAAGAAGTGGCAGACAATAATGAGGCGATCAATGAATTCTCAATTGCAGAACCACAACGGTGTCTTCTATTCTCAAACTAATAAGTGTGGAATTTTTATCGACCACCTCACATTTGATATGCAAAGCCCAACGCATGAGCGCCTCTGGCCTACGAATTACCTGATTTTTGAGATCAGCAGCGTGCCCATGCCCGATCCCGTGCCGCCGCCCAGCGAGTGCGTGAGCTGAAATCCCTGCAGGCAGTCGCAGTTCTCGCACTCCTTGCGCACCACATCCAACACGGAGTCCACCAGCTCCGCGCCCTCGGTGTAGTGTCCCTTGGCCCAGTTGTTGCCGGCGCCAGACTGACCGAACACGAAGTTGTCCGGCCTGAAGAGCTTCCCGTACGCGCCCGACCGCACGGCCTCCATCGTGCCCGGCTCCAGATCGAGCAGAATGGCACGCGGCACGTACTTGCCACCGGACAAGCGCGTGACGGCTGCAAAAGGCATCAGATTAGCCGCGGCGGAAGGAGTGCACAGGACAAGAGCTCACCTGAGGCCTCATTGTAGTACACGCTCACGCGCTCCAGCTGCAGATCCGAGTCGCCATGGTAAATGCCAGACGAATCGATCCCGTGCTCCTCGGAGATGATCTCCCAGAACTGAAGAGAGAAGAGCGTGGAGTTAATGAGGAAATTTACATGATTTTTTGCTGCGCTCTCAAAACTTGATGATTTAATTATGAGACACTCTTTTTCCATTTTCTTTTCCTCGGCGACTCGAAAGTGTCGCAATAAAATTTATTGGATCGCTTTTTTGTGCTGGAGAAGACAAGTTTAGATTGGTTTTTAGGGCGGAAAGAGTGATGAAACTTCATCGTGAGCCAAAGACGTCAAATTGAATGAGAAAATAGGGATTTAGAAGAATCACCAGGGATTTCAGGGGTATTTTTAGGGGAAGTGAACTAGATCTTTGCACTTTGCATACGATTTAATTCATAAAGGGTATTAAGATTAAATTATCTGTTCAAATGCTAAGAAAACAACCTTTTCCTATTCATGTTATCGTGCAAATGTCTGAAAAATTTCAAAAACACTGATATTTTTCAATTGTAATAATTTATAAGTAGCAAAAAGGTATAAATTGCAGAATTTGCGACAACAGAAAGATGCTTCCCTATTTTCCACACGCGCCTGTAGTTGTAGAATTGCACACTCGAGTTCGTAGTTGCGTGCAATTATATTTCGTTTGGAGATAATTGAAAAAAAAGCGTCTTTTTTGTGCTTCGCTCTGTCTTCTGAACCATATTCACCGTCATAAATTCATAAAATAACTCCCATTGCTCACCATCTTGAGCACATTGAGCGAATGCGAAGGTTCAGCGACCCAAATGGACTTTCAGGGAAATGGTGAAATTTCCACCAATTTTTCAGCGCGCTATAAATCTGTACTTCGACAGGTGGCATCGCCTGGTTCTTTTGCAAAATTCGCGATCATCACGGCGGTCGAACATTCACTGGAGCACGACGTTTCGGGCTCTTGCCCAACAATTTAATTCCTCATTCGTGTGACATGAGAATTTACATGCTTTTGCCTTCTTGGCCTCTCAAATTGCACCCAATTTTTTAATCCAGCTCCAATTGAGACGCTCACCAGGCATGCCATCGTCTGTTCACAGAACAGAAACAAATATTTACATGAGAAACAGAGAGACTGTTATCATTATGCCTTCTATGGCAGTGGCAAACGGAGACTCTATGGAATTGTTTAGAAGACGTTCTGGAGTTTTCAGAGCTTCTCACACGCACGATTGATGGCCAAATGGTCGAGTCTAGATCTTCAACTCTGGATGTTCTTTGATTTTTCTTTTCTTTTCTTTTCCCTTGCGTGAAATTCCACAGAAATCTCTCGCTGAGACACTCTGGTGAGAAAGGGTTTTTGGCGACATAAATAGAAAAGCCGAGCAAGTTGATGAACCCCAAGGCGCACAAATCTTCATGCCAGACGCGATTTTACACCAAGTTTGCCTTTTCTCCGCGAGGATTAGTCCGCAATCGAGGTCAAGGCGAGGTCATAAATAATCTCTCTATCTCAGCGAGAGAGTCTCAAAATTTTGCTCTGATTGTCTTTTGTCTTGTCAGCTTTCTTGTTGGCCGAAAAAATGATGGGAGAGAAAAATGTAAATCGCTCAATTGCACACAATATTTCACACTCTTCTTCCCAAAGGCCACATTTTTCTTCCATGCTGCGAAGTGGAGAGAATCTCGTGAAATTGGCGCCGCACTATAAATGACACCATTCACCAAATAAATATTCAATTTGGCCCTCTTATCGTCTATTCTTCATGATGCCAAAATGATGGATAACATCAGACAAACAGTGGAGTTTTATTTCGGCTAATTGGGAGAGAGTAAGATTAAGACAAGCAGTTTATGTCATTTATGCAGGGAAATTGACTTAGTTTAGAGATGTTTATGCGGCTAAGAAAAGGGATTTTTCTTCCAGTTCTTCTTTCGGTGGGAAAAGATCAAATTATATATATATTCCCTTCTCTTCTGCCATTTCACATAAACTATAGCCACAATCGTGCGCTCATTAAAATAAAGACAGTGAAGTTCTCTGTCTCTCATGATCAATTGTAATCTCTTTTCTGTTCTTTCGACATGACAAAAATCCTCTTTGAGCATAATCACAAGAACTTTATGTGACTTCCCCTCGACTTCTTGGAACGATGATTCACTGAACGATGTTTTGACTGTCTTGTAATTTCCTCTCGCAGCCTTTTTTGCGCTCTCTTATGTGTGTGTTTTTTTCAGCCATAAGAAATCCGAGGGTGATAAACTGTGTGTGATAAACTATTGCATTTCGGTATGTTTATGAATCACTCCCTGAGAGCCCAGAAAGGCTGCAATTATCGGATTGATTGGGCCGTGACTTGTGTCTGGACGTGCGAGTAAAAAAGAGCCACTTCCTCGATCATTCATGATGAAAATTATACATGTTCTGGAACAAAACTCTTGTGCGCGATCATGCAAATGCCGCACAGTCACAGAAATAGTCTTTTGCGGCTCTCAATGGGAGAGAATTTGTCGCTCTCGAAATAGCTTTCCAGTGTGTTTCATGTGCACATTTCTTCACTCCTCGAAATGTCTAATTTCAGGCCTCTCGCTCTCTTTCTCTGTCGGGATCATAATTCTCGAGTCCGCGCGAGGACTTGTCATTCCTCGATGCGTCGCCCGGTGGAGAAACTCGATCCTCCTATTTTAAGTTGAAGACACTCTCCGGAAATTGTGACAAATTCTCAGATGATGAAACCCTACAGGACACAAAAACGCCCGACATGCACGGAAATAGATGATGTGAGAGACACTTTCCATCTTCGTTTACACCTGTGCCCAATTGAGAGTGAAATGTGCCACAGGAAGTTTGCATTTGCATTTATATCGCTAATACTTTCAGGGCTCTTCGCCGGAAACCAGAGACTTTTTGGACAGGAAAGTGCCTCAAGATCACTCCAAGATTGAGTGTTTCCTCTCCATTGGCTGTCATTAAGAGGCCTATAGTAAAATATCAATTATTTCACTTGATGGCAGAGATGTTAATCCATAAAAGCGAGAAGAGCAGAAGAGCTCGAATCGTTGACTCCAATCGTTAAAGGCAAAACACACAATAATTCACCCAGTATCCAAATATTTCTTTACTATTCCAATGATAGAATAAACAATTTGTGTATTATTTCAACCATGTCTTTCAAGATGGGAAATTAGAACACATCTCTGAGGGAAAATAAATAATGATTTCACTAATTTTAGAGAGAAATTAAGAGATGATTCTTAACAACTCTCGACAAAATTTTCGAGTTGTTGTACTGAAAATTGTTTAATTAAACGGTAGAAAATTGCTTTACGGCTTTTTTCTAGGCCGAAAATCTTAAAATCTCGATTGAAAGAATTTCTGTTTAGATTTTCTTAACAAACGATTTGAAAAATTTATGTGAATATTAATTTTGTTGGGGATCAAATGCGACTCATTCTGTTTTCAAGGGTTAATCCAGTGCTAAATCAATTAATCATTTCACTTCTCATAAGCTCTGCTTCACTATTTCTTCGCCGGAACTGTTTCTTCTTCTTGGCTTTCTTCGGCTCTGGAGCACAACTGCGCGAGATAAGATTGAAGTTGGGGCAACAAAAAGGCATAACTTTCAATTGCAGCTCAGATAAGGCTCATACACAGACTTCCTCTAGAGAGGAACTCATATTTCTCGCCACGATAATTCCCAGTCGGAGTCCAGTTAAAAGTTAATGAGAAATTCTTTCTCTCTTGTGAGCATTTCAGCGGCAAAAATTGCAAGCCAACACTTTCCGATGAGGTCAAACACACCAAATCATTCACCGTGACAGTGCTTCGATTTGCCCCGTGATTTCTTTTCCCCGCATCTGACGTGACAAATATTTAATTTGAGACATTGCGTGGTAATTCGATTAGGACGAACAAAAAGGCACTTCTTTGGCGTGTTTGAGGGGAGTTTCTGTGGAGGACAATTTGGTCAATTGAGATCAATTTGGAGGCTTCTTTTGTCTGGCGAAATGCCCGAGAAAAGCAATTAAATTCTTAATCCACGCAATGCATAAATCTGAGTTGAGAAAGTCACTGAATTTCCAGGAAAGAAACTCCTCATCTTGAAAACACTTCGGGTTTTTATATTATGTCTTCTGAGTCAGAATGTAGCAAAAATTATCTTATCGCGTGCGCCTCGATTAAACTCTCAACAACCAGAAGCACTTTAGCGAGACATTGAGTGGAGAAAAACCGCCAAATTTCCACAAAATCTCACCTTGGCTCCAATTTGGTTTCCACACTGACCGGCCTGCAGATGCACAATTTCCCTCATGATGACTCTGAGACACTCAACACTTAATTCACTGTTTCTGCGACGACGCAACGGACTCGACTGAGCCGCTGAGCAGCCGCTCCAGCGTTTTATAGTGCCGCCGAAGCTCGGAAGCCGACTGGCACGGAGTATTTTTAGCACGCACGACGCTCCAGTCCAGCAATTTTCACGCCACGACGCTCCGGAGGATCATGAGGAATGCCCAGGCCGCACAAGTTTCTTATCGCGCGCTCTATCTTCGCCAAAATCGAGCAATACAGATTTAGATCGCGCCTGTAAAAATCACTGGCATTTCAAATTTGGAACGATAAGTAGAACAGAACACCTTTGATGGGCCCAAGAAATTATCTTTACGACTGACAAAAAAGTGCCTGAGGAACTGAATCACTTCTGGGCAGGGATTTTATGTCTCACATTCCCAAATTGGCAGTTCAAGAAACCCATTAAGTGCGCCATTCAGCCAGAATTAACAGGTGATTCTACACAGTGTTAATCTCTTGCCTCAGTGTTGCAGTTTTTCCACTTTCTTTGCTCTCTGTGATTATTTCTTAACGGCAATGATTGATTTCTCACTTCGGCGCGCGATTCATCAAATCATTCGACAAGATCTGTGTGGAAATCTTGACTGAAAGTGTCTTGCATAAAGTAGCAAAGACGCATAATTATGAAGAGTCGAAATGCGATAAAAGCTTTCAGTGGAATAATGTTCACCACTCTTAATTTAAGATAACTTAACGGTGCTCCTCTTAGATATGCGATGTAAAGCATGAATAATTTTTGATTTGTAATTAATAAATAACAATAATTGGATGTGAAAATAAACGAAATATGCTTTGTAAACTATTTTTAGTAATTAGAATTTATTTCAATCACAACAATAAAACTTAGTTCTTCATTTATACACCAAAATCATATTAAAAATTTGCGTCTGTTGTGTTTATATAAAAATTTATAACAAAAGTAATATTACAAAAGAGGTAAATTTTTAGCTTTTCCAATTCATATCCAATGAAATCAAGGCAATCAAGCACAACGAAAATCGCAAAATAAAAAAGCAATGGCTTTTTTAATCTCCCAGCTTAACAATTGAAGACAAGTCGGAGGAAAAGTCTATGAGCGATCGTCAGCTGTTAAATTCACCAATTCACCACGCGGACGCTTCGCTAGTGGGCAATCTGCCAGTTTTGCTTTGAACGTCGCATTGTTTGGAACGTCTTGTGAAAAATACCCCAAAATCCCGTGAAAAACCCATAAGAACCACCACCGCTTGTTAATGAGAGGCCAAATATGTTAAGTGCTTTCGTTTCTCGGATAGTCATGTAAGTATTTCCCGCGGAAGTCGGTGGAAAAGGTGCGAGAAAAGGAGTTGGCCTTCCTGTGACAGGTTTCAATGGTGGCGCCTCAGGATTTGCTCTACTCAAGTGAGGAAAATCCATGTGAAAATCAATGAAGAGGCCCTCGAGGGGATAGTATTTCCGTGTGAAGAGACTCTCGAGTGGTGTATGATGCAATTTTCACTGGGAAAATGGGGGGAAATTGGAGGCGCAGTGCGAAAAAAAGGCAGCACAAAGACGTCTGTTTTTGCACTGTGTCTCTGGGTTGAGTGATTTCCACTCAATTGGAACGGAAATATCGGTTATTTCCTCACAAAATTCTATTCATGGACAGCTCACGGTGTCTAGCCAGCGATCTGGCGGGGAATCCGGCCGTGGGGGCGATTGTCAGAGGCTGTGCAAGCGCATCCGGAGGCACGATGCAGGCAGAGAAGCACGGAGTCGTTGCCCTTGGGGCGCTTCTGGTGGGGCCAACGTGACCAAAAATGGTCAGAAAGTGTCTCCACATTGACCTCATTGCGCTCCCGGGCTGAGCTGGTGGCCGAGAGGCTTCGCAGAGAGCTTTCCGGACGCTTCGCTGCAATTTCACGGTCAATTGGCAAAGATCACGTTCAAGTCTTCTTCCGATGACTCACTCTGACCACTTTCCTCCGCCTCTGCCCAGTGAGAGAGACAATCGCACGGCAAATAGCGGATAATAGCGGTCGTGGGATTTATTTGGCAGTCGCTGGCCACACAAATCACCGCTTTTCTGCCTCCATCGATCAATCTGGCGGGGCTTAAGAGGGCTTTTGCGCGCCCCCGGCAACTCCAGAACTTGTTTGAGGTGTTGTGGCAAGACAAACAACATCAAATTCCTGTCTTCGCGACCAAGGATGAGCGATAAAAGCGATGATTTGCATGCCAATTGATTACGCGCGTAAACAATGAAGAGAAGCCAAGATTGAAGCCAAAATCAACTCAATTTTGGAGTCATCTTTCAGTTCAATTTGCAGCATCATTAAGAAAATTAAACTCAAATCCCAATTTGTCCAGTTTAAATGAACAATGATAATGAAAAACTCGAGCGTCGCGCTCATTAAAATGCCCAGTAAAAATGTAATGTGATTTCCTCCAGAACGAACTGTGAAATACATTTATTTTGAAATGAAGATTAATTCACACGAATTAGCAATTGAATGTGAATTGAATTGTCTGGCCAAGAATTCCCTTTCAAGAATGCCACTCAGCAATATATGAACAGGGAAAGCCATTGAAGCTGAAAGTGAGTTTCATAATCACTGGATGGTTGATTTAGAAAATGTGCTTCGCATTAGGCGATCGAGACAGAGTGACTGATAAATTGGCTTTATATTCCTCAAAAGAGTGACTCTTTGTCTCGAGCGCGAATAAAATATTCCAACTGAATTGCTCATTTATTGGATGCATCCTCTTTCACGCTCCATTTCTCAGCTGCGACATGAAATCTTACTCCAAAAGTCCTAAACATTCGCTCGATGTTTACATGAGAGAAGATGTCTTCTATTTATATACTCATAGAATGTAAGGGGCAGAAAGTGCTCCTTTTGAGACTTTGTCGCTGTGTTTGGTGATGAAAATGGGTTAATTTGGGTCTAAAAACAGAGTTGAAATCTTCACTTCACGTGCACTTTTCCCTTCTTCCCCTCCTAATTGGGATTTTCTTCACTCACACATACTTTTTCATTGTATAAATTGAAAGACTAGAATTATGTTTATAAATACACGCATCAGAGTTGAGAAAGATATTAAAAGTAGATAAAGTTTAACTATGAAGTGAAAAAATATGCTTTTTCCGTAGATAATTTGATGTATTCTTACTTATCATGGATTTAAGATCATAAATGTTGTTTTAATTAGGCTGAATTTGAGAAAAATTGACTTTTATCCCACTTCTGACACCAAAACTAAGGCGAAAATTCAATTAATTGAGTATTATTAAGCGAAAAACAGCAGAGTTTGTTTCAAATCGCTTAATTTCTCTATTATTTCTTCACATTTTGAACGATTTGTTAAAAATGAGAAATTGTCTCTTAATCTATAATTCATCAATGATCAACTCTGATGGTAAAACGTAAAAGGGAACACATGAAGTCGAATAGGAGGAATTTCCTCTGTGTAATTTTTGGAAAATCTGGCTTTCTTGGCTCTCCAATGCTGACTTTTCTTCAGTGCTCATCTCATCTTCGGCGAAATCAGATGGTCTACTTCACTCTCGTGTTTACTCAACGCCTTTTTCTCACCTCCATTTATCATTTGAGAGTCACACTGTCGATCACGAGAGGTGCTAAAGACCGTCCAAAAGGCGAATGATCTTGTGATCAGTTTTCGTGTGTGTTGTTTGTCAGGAAGATTGAATGGAATTTTCATAACATATATATGAGTCTTTTTGCCTGCAATGTGAGTTTGAGGCGCGAATCTCTGCGTAAATGTATTTTTAGCCCAAAATTCTTGCTCATACTCGCAAGACAAAAGTGAATTGTGGCGGCGGCTGAAATGCGTCTAAATTCAAACAATATCAGTGACTTGATCGGGAAGTTCGAGGGCAGGAGTGAGGAAGTGAAGCGCGAGAAGCCAAAGAGGGAGAGAGTGAGGAAGAGAGTCGCTGTTGAGGAATCGAGGGAGGAAGTTGTGACGATGCTGTCGCGATTCGGGCGGTTTCTGGACTTCCTCTCGCAATTGCCACTGCCGCGAATGTCTGTCACAGGAACGGGCATCACTTGTCTGCTCGCTGTGTTCATCCTGCCGCGCGCCATCACTGAGAATTTCCTCTTTCCCGCCTTTAGACTGCTCTTCGGCACGCTTTATCCGGCCTATGCGTCCTACAAGGCGGTGAGAACCAAAAATGTGAAGGAATACGTGAGTATTTGGCGCGTGTGTGGTCAAACAGAAGATCTTTATTGATTGCTTGTTGTGTATTTTGCAGGTGAAATGGATGATGTATTGGATTGTCTATGCCTTCTTCACGTGCATCGAGACATTCACAGACATCTTTCTCTCATGGTTTCCCTTCTACTACGAAGTCAAGGTGATCCTCGTGATTTGGCTGCTCTCGCCAGCGACCAAAGGCAGCTCGACGCTGTATAGAAAATTCGTGCATCCGATGTTGACGCGTCGCGAGCACGAGATCGATGAGTATCTCAATCAAGCCAAAGAGAAAGGATACACAACGGTGCTCCAATTGGGCTCCAAAGGCATGAATTATGCCACAAGTGTGATTATGCAAACGGCCATAAAGGTAAGTTTGAGGCGTTCAGCAAAATCACCCTTAAATGTTAAATATAATTTGCAGCTTCTTTAACTCTGTTACAATTCAATATATATATCTATGATGTTTGTGCTTTTCCCCAAAAAAAAAGAAGAAGACACAGTTTTGATGACGAGCACTTGAGCGAATGTTTGCTATGCAAATTATAGAATCACGTTTTCTTAATGTGCTAACTTGACTCTTGAGGTGTTCATACACACCATTTGTTGTTAATGATGCCCTAACAAACAGCAATAATCTCGCACAAGCACACATTGCATTGTTCTCCTGCAGCTGGGCAATGGTTCTGGCATTGAGACGGAGGAGCGCGACGCTCTGGACGCTCCGCCATCGCCGCGGATGACTCGCTCGCGATCCGTGGATTCTGCTCTGCACACCGTGAAGCTGGAGCCATTGGATGCAGTTCCTGCACTCTCCATTCCCACCATCACGGAGGTGTCCTCGGAGGAGGATTTGCACGTGATGGACGGGGTTTGTGGGGCGGCGAGGGCGCGTGAGATGCCCATGAGGCGCGCGAAGGTGACCAGAAGCAGACTGCCAGTGAAGGGGAGACGCCGTGGAAAGGCGGAAGAGCACTTCATGGAGGTGGAAATTGACGACTGATCTCGCGATGAATCTCTTTTTTATACATCACTCAAGGATTTTCTTTTTTGTACAATAAATTTTATGTGAGGTTTGATTTTGATGAAAATCCTGAATTTTGGTGAGTTTTCCTGCATGAATTAATGTTCGCTGCTTGGCTTATTCTTCCTCTAACCACAATCTCTGAGGTGATTTGATGAGCAATTCCGGTGGGATTTCTCACTGATCTTTGACACTGAACTTCTTTCAGGGTGGCGGAAATCTTGTGCAGACGCTGAAGAAGAGCTACAGCTTGAGTGATCTCTCGGAGCCGGACACGCAGCGCACTCAGGATGAGATTGACGAGATCACGAGGCCGCAGCGGAATCAGAGAGTCCTCAGGCCGCGCACGCAGAGCACAAGATCGGCTTCGGGCGGCAGGAACGTGCCTGAGATGTACTTTCCGGAAGTGGATGTGACGCAGGCGTCAAGAGCAGCCAGAGATGTGCCGCCGAACTACAAGTGAGTATTAGGAAAAAGATTCAGTGCAGATTTGTGTTTTTGCAGCCAAAGGAATTCAATAGTCCAGAATTAAGTCCTTTTTAACTCTTATAAGTAACTTCATAACCTTATTTGCAGCTACATTCGCTCCAGCGAGGACATCAGCTCAGGATACTCAAGCGCTGAGCCGATGCCGATCGCCCTCAGCCGCACAGCCTCCCTTTCGCACGCCACTCGCGGCGCATCGAGACTGAGATCCAAGCGATCAGAGGTGAGAAGTCGCTTCACAGCTTCTGCATCCGACACTTCTATTCTCTCTCTCTTTCTTGGTATCGTTTCTCAAAGGCGGGTGGAAATGCGTGGGAAGATGACGGGGAAGGAGACTATCCGTCCTGTCCTCAGAGTCCTTTGTCCATTGAATCCTCCTTTAGGTACTCCTTCGACGGCGAACCTCTGTGTCTCGTTGAAGAGGAGGATAGCGCGAATATTGTTGAGATTATTGAGGATTTCAGCCCGATCAAGAGACAATTCGATCCGGAGGTTGAGGAAAAGTACAGAATGTTTGAATTGTGGTTGAAATCTCAACGGGACTCGGTGAAGAATCCATCAAATATCTCTGAAGACTTCAGAGACACTTTATCACAGTCTTCAGAGGAGGAATTTCATGAGCTCGACGGTGAAGTGAGTGTCATTGTAGAGGAGAAGATTGAAGAAGTGAAGCAAGAAGATGAAAATATCCCGGAAACTGTGAGAGAAACTCTACTAGAGAGTTCTTCTCCTGTTCCACCTCCGCTTCCGGGCAAGAAATCGCCAAGTCATGGCAAGGGAAGGGCGCCAGAACCGCCGACAATCCGTCCTGTCACACCTCCAGCCACTGCCGATGCGGAGGAAGTGAACAGTGTGCAAGATAAGAAGCAGTCGGAGAAGAAAAGTAAATTTATAAGCTATCTGCCGGACATTTTGCGACCAGAATCAACAGCTAAACCGTCCAAAAGCACTGATAAGGCACCCAAAGAGACTTCCATCTGAACCCCCCAAACAAAAACAGACCCTCTTTTGCACCCTCTCGACCGTGAGATACAATCAGAAGATGTGAGCAATGTGCGGAAAAAGGCAGGAGGATTTTGCACTTTGACTTTCTTTTGCCACTTTCTTTGCTAACCACTCTCGATCCTGTGGCTTTGCTTGCGCCAATGACTGGCAGATCAATCATCAACGCATTAGTTTGATCGTTCTGTGCCCACTAACGAGTGTTTCTCTGGGATGTTTTTCCTTCCTTTAGTTTATTGCTTTTCATCCCTTTTGTGCATGATAAACTGCAGTCATGTTTTTTGCTAATTTGGTGGTATTTTTCCCGGTTGTTTTGCAGGAGAAAATCATCTCCTCGAGCTACTCAACGTTGCCGCGAAGCCGCAAAATGGAGAAGATGCTCAAGACTAAGGCGAAAGCTGAGAAATGAACGGCATTTGATCGAGAAAGAAAAAAAAACACCCCCACAGTTGATTTCCCCTCTTCACACGATGAGCTTTTGCCGCGAACGATGGTTTTTATTGCGAATTTTGGTGCTAGTTTAGGAGCGACTCTGAAATAGACTGATTTGATGATGCGTGAAGGGAGTTTGAGAGCTTGAAAGAAAAGAGAAAGGATGTGTTGAGAAGGTCCTTTAGTCACAATACAATATTGTTAGAAGAGAGTATTATAAGTAGGAAAAAAGATTGCGATGAAGAGAAGATTATTTGTGATTTTATCTCTCATATCTTTATATACGATTTCTCATATATTGTCTCTTAGTTAGAATATCCCAATTGAGGAATGTTTTCTCCGTCTCGTTTTACCTTTTATTATTTATCTTTGTCCAAGAGAGCAAGATAATAAAGAAATTTGTGATTGTAAACATGTTTTGTCGTAATTGTGAAAGAGTGCGTGATGCAACAAATTTGCTTTCATATGCAAAAATTTTAGTCAATATTATTGTGAAGGTGTTTTTTCTGCGCGCTGTGTCGATAAAGTGCACTTTTTTTCACAGTCAGACGCAGAGAAAGTGCGGCGGAAATGCACTTTTCTCCGTGGAAAAAGATCCAACATTGAAAAAGAGTGAATCAATTCCTCGTGACTTGTCGTGTTATGTTAATCAATTTATCAAGATAATCCCTGGGGAGGAACGGTAGATTTCTGACGTCTTTCCTGCATTTCTTGCCTTCCGCACAGTGAGAGTGAAGAATATTGTTATGGAAATTCGGACACACGAGCCATCTCCTGCTGCAAAGATCTAGTCTAACGACCCAAATCACTCTTCGGCGAACGTACGTGAGAGCCACAAAAGAAGACAGAGACGGAGAGAGAGGAGAAAAAATATAAACAAGATCTCGAAACACGCAGAAATAACAGAAACATCATTTTTGGGTGACAAATGATTCTGAGCCGGAAAGAAGCGAAACGCTAGATTTGAATCATTAGCATAGAAGATGCTTTGGATATGCGATATGAGATGGCGGGAATTTATAGAAAATAATGGTCGTAAATATTTTAATCCTATTGGAAACATTGAAGTTATGTCTTAAGCGTGTCTGCGGTCAATGATTTCGATACTGTCGCACGGGAAAGATAACTCTAAGAAAGTTGAATTCTGTGGGATTTCTAAAGATCCCATTTATACAGAATTGGTTTAGAAGTGTGGGAATGAAAAAAAATGTCGCTAAATTATAGCATTTTGATGGAAGAAAAAATTGACTAAACTCTAATTTAATGTATTTTAAGATCAGCGGTTTTTGGTAATTGCGTGAAATAAATTTTTGGACTTTTCATTGTAACAAGATACTCTTAAAAATCCTTTCCTGAAAGATCTTATTAGTGTTCTCAGTGCTTTCTTAATCGAATCCACACCCCTTTAAAGTCTCTATTTAGCTGCCGATGTCTTGTAAATGGCCTTTATGGCTGGCAATAAGACGTCCAGGAATGAAAGAAGCGTTGCAGTGAGTCAAGGGAAGGGAGCAGAAGATCAAGTGGCGTCAAGCCCAGAGGAGTGTGATCTAGTGAGTGTCTTGGACTGGGTCAAGCAATACAAATTGCAGCTGGTAAATAAGTACCGTGGCGCGGCAATTTATCCACCGCAGAATCCCAGCGATGATCCAAATTGATTCAACTTACATATACCGCGAATGGGAGGAGATTTCTTTAACAGTTCCTCCACCTTCGCGGCACAGAAATCTGCGCTCTTGCCATGTGAATTATGGTGAGTTTTTCGATGATGATTTACACACTATTCTGCTCACTCTGCTCAAGTGCATCAGACTCCAATCCAATGATGATTAGAAGGAGTTGAGGAAGCAATTTTGGCGGCAGATTTGCCACAACTGTGCGCATACAATTTAAGCTCTTTCGGTTCATCTTCGCGCTGCTCGCGCGCATTAACATCTCCATCGATTAAACTGGAAGAAGAGCCTTCCAATTGAATTCCACCTTCAATCAAGAATGCATTCTGCGCGTGTTTCTGGCGAATAAACATTCAACTTTACTTCCCATCTCTTTGCAATTTTCTGCAGAGAATGGCGAGTGCGGCTCTGCGAGAGCTGCTCTGACCGCTTTTAGCTTCTGGTCACTCTGTGATCCAGCATTCAGTCAGTTTCACGCCACACTTCAAGCCATCTCCTTGGCTCTGCCGCGACGCGCGCTCTTGCACGTGATTTTGCGGGTTTTCTTGTGCTTAATTGCTTGTGATCACACTCGAGTGCCTTTTATCAGAGTTTGATAGTAAAATTCAGTGAATCTGACGGATTCTTTTCACTCGCTGGGCGAGAAAGAGCAAGGAAAAGAGGTATTTTTCGTGATCATGAAGACCTGAAGAATACTTTAATCAGCGATCGTGAGGGAAATTGTGTGATCTTTAGTATTTCCCATACAATTAATGCAATCATGGCAATAAAAGTGTACTTTGTTGCTATGAAGAAATGATGAAAAGTAACAATTTTCATGGCATTCAGTAGTGATCTTCACCGTGTAAGAGATATTCGGTAAAAATTAAGAGTCATAAAATTGCCATTGATAATGAGAAAAAGTGGCAATTATTTTACAATTTTCCCCCATCTAATAAAAGAAATGCTTTCAGTGAAATTTCAGCAATTATTTTTGGTGTGGGAAATGCAATCTTTGAATGATTTTGAGGATATTTCCATGTAAAATGATATTCTAATTAAGAACAGTGATCTTCACTCGATTCTCCCATAATTTTTCCGCACTCATCGGCAAATCTTATCCATTTCATCACATGCGATCGCATGTTTATTCAAATTGTGAGTGACATACGCAATTCTGGACCGAGAAACGGCTGCCGATTGTCGTGCTGTGAAAGCGACACCAATTCTCATGGCGCGCATTCTTTCTCCTGTCGTATAAAAGCAATTCTCAACATAATTTATGCACTCGCGTTCGCGGTTTTTTCTGCATATCGCAGAAAATGAATTTATTTCCCATCCATTTGCCCAATCATTAGAATATGCTAAGAGCCTCTCTACGTCACCAAATTGATTTGTTATTCTTCTGCAATTCACGGGCGATCTTCCAGTGATCTTTCTCGCTTTAATCATGTCTCGCGATCGTGGTGGAAAGTTAATGTGTGGAATTCAAGGATTTCTTCTGGCGACTTCTTTTGCATTTTTTCGGTATATTTCCGACAACATCGACACGTTGGAAATTTATTTCTCTCATGCTTTATACGCACCATTCCAAGAATGCTTATAAGCAGGATCATTTACTTGCCAAGAGCGAGATTAGTATTTAAATTTAGTGAATAAATGCGACGAGTAACTGAATTGTGATGAATATATTAGTAACTAAGTGATCTATTCTTAAGTTTGTAAATTAAATTATAACGCTAACAAGATGACGCGACGTTCGTCTCGATCATGCATAAATACAGTCTAAAATAGAAACGTTAAGGAATTGATATATGCAGTTGTTAAATGGCTTTTAAATATGCTACAGAAAATTTCTTCTAAAAATTTCTGCAATACTTCTCCTTGGCTAATTACTGGTAAGAAGAAGACAATTAATCTCTGACATGGTGAAAAGATCACCAGTGAAATCGGCAAACCGTAAAACAACGTGATTAAATCTGCCGCTCAGGGCAAAAATCACCACTTGAGGAAGTCAAGAAAAGACTCTGTTGTCGATGGATTAATTTCCAGTGGTCTAATGGAAATTCTCACTGGGTTACTGAGATGCCCTCGAGGCAAGATTTGCCCTTTGGCCATGACTTCTGAATGCCATTAAAGTCTTCTGCTTCTTTTCGACGCGATAAGAAAAAAGAACAACACCGAACAGCTGAAGATATCACGTCGTGAGAAGTTTTTTTCTTCCCAACTGATTAACTGACTTGACCGATGCTTTTCACACTGAGAAAAAAACAGTATGAAGACTTTCTTTTCTTGATATGGGCAAATTATAGTTGTGGAAAACCGTAAGAAATTCCCATAAGAATCCTTATAGAAAATCTTGAATTTCTTCCATGATATTTCATGGTTCATTTGCAATGGAAAGTAACACATAAATATAAACATAAGAGACATGATGAATATCACATTAGAATGTCTTAAGAACTCTATTAATTGATAGCATTCTTATACATAAAAATATCAAGTTTCATGGTAAGCATTCTAAAATTCTCTAACTGCAAATGTGATAAGAATGATAAGCGAAACAAGTCAAAACGTCGTAAATCCACACATTTAATTTCGCCACCTTATAAATATATTCAAAGGCATTTAGGAAACACTAAAGTTAGTCATAAGCAAAGTGTTTCAGCATCGCCAAGAAACCTGTCCATCTGCATTATCTCACAGTTGCGATGTTTCGAAGGTGTTCATTTGGGTCACCTCAATTTGCTGCGCGCGATACCGCCAAGAATTAATTGTCTCTGGGCCGAAAAGTCTTGCTGAGGTGAGGAAAAAAATGATGGTCCATTGTTAACGATGGACTTTCTCTGGTCTTGCTCTAAGAAGTTATGCAAAAGGGAAAAGCGTGTGGGCGCAGAGCCTCTTGGGAAGGTCAGTCACCATTCTTTTGCACACCGAGAGACACTTGGTCACTAACTGTATCGCTTGATTGTGCCGCTAATTGTCTTACATGCAACCAATCGTCGATCGATCAATAGTGGGAAAAATTTCCAATATCATGTTATCTCAGCTGAAGCCAGAGAGAGGATAATGAGTGGGTAAAAAGTGACCCAGAGAGAATATTTCCACCATCGCCACTGTGACGGGGAAATTGTGGACACTCTCAATGTGATCGTGAGAGTGATCCTCAAGTTTAAACGTTCCAAATTCTTCACACACTGCTCAATTGCTCCATATTTGTGGCGCTGCTCTGCAACTTGTCGTGCATAGAAGTGGTTTGGCGAGCAAGTCGCGGAGAATTGTGCCACTATTTCCTTATATCAGACACACTGAACCGTTAATTTCACCCAGAAGATCAATTTATCGCTGGATATTGATCCACACAAGCAGCATCATAAACATCTTCCATCTTGGGTCATCATTCAAACTTGCCAGGCAAAGAAAAAGACCTCTCTTCATTAGGTCCATTCATGCAATGCGTCCGCTAAAAAGATCGCTACAGAATTTTTGAGGATCAACATTAATTGTTGCTTTCTTCGGTCGGATTGCTGAAATTTGTCGTTAACATTTCGCCGAACTGGTTTCTCGCGATGATCCACGCGCTATTATCGGTCACCCACCCTTTGACAGCTCGTTCGGCAATCGCTGAGGTCAGAGAAATGCTAATGCACGTGTTTCATTGCGTAACTCTGCGCAAATTATCGACCGGTTTCCAGCGCGATCGTGAAGTGGAACAAACCACAAATTGAATGCAATATTTGTGCCACTAAAAGTCATCCATCCTCGTCTCTTCTTCGTCAGGAGGCCCCAATTGTGTCGCCCGAGGCGATGGAAGGCGGTCGGTGAGCCACAAGCATGGGCAACGTCTCGAGTGGTCAGTCAACGTTGAGTCGAGGCTGGAGGAGTGCCGAAGATGGTCGCCATGGCAAGGCCAGAAGCAAGGGCTCACAGGAGAGCTCCCGAACCTTCTACCTGCTCTACCTTATTCACAGGACATGGAATGTCGTTGTGGACACGATGGACTCCAAAGGGAAGAGGTAAGCGCGCGTAGAGCCTTAAGCATTGATCCGACGATGTCGGATGTTATTTAAAGAATTGAATAGGGTTAAATTACCTTTCATTTGCACCCAAAATTACCAAAATCGGTCCAGAAACACCGGAGATTAAGCAAGTTTTAACTTTAATTTATGTTCTGTATAGTTCCTTGGGCAAAAGGGGCAAAAAAATCCCCGTTTCATTGCTCATTTCATTGTTCATTTCACATTACTTCGCAATTTATATTACTACTCTTCCTCTTTGTGCAGATCCCGATGGAGCAGAGGCACTTCTGAAGACTCTGGCGCCCCGAGGAGCAATTTTGAAGATGATGGCTTCGATACGGACATTCATTTTTCCGACTTTGAAGATCAATCGAGTGTTTACGGATCGCAATACTCATTTTGCAGCTGCAGTCACTGCATCGAGGCGAAGGAGATCAACGAGAGTCTCTTTGACTACCCAACGGCGACCAGGTGAGCGCCACCTGTTCTGATCTAGCTAAAGCACACCCAATTGTGGCGATCTGGGCGCAATTTCACTGTCGAATCGTGAGATATTTTCCCACAAAACTTTCGCTATAGTGATCGTTTTTCATTTCATTCTCGGGGAGAAATTTGGTCAAAGTCATTCCAACTGCAATTCCATAAATCTTTTCTCTGCACAGAGAGGAAATGAGTGAAATGCTCACGTGACGATCAATAGTGATCGCAATCGAACATTAATCCCGCGAAGTCATCAACTTCTCTCGCTCTTCCATCTCCCAATCTTCGCGTTATGTAAGCTGAGATCCGCGAGGATCGCGATTCTTTCCCATTTCACCCATGAGGATGGCGATCGTGCAAGGTCACTCTTGTTTATTTTTCGCGTGTCGCCGGACTGATGAGTCTCTCCTGCTGCATTAATTGCATAATCCCCCGGAGGCGCGGATGACAGTTTTTGCGCACACACACGATCGCGATCGATGAACCCGCAGAATCGATCTCATGGCATTACATTCCCTCACCTAATGAGGTATTAATTCAACACATAAATTTCATCCTTGCTGAATTATTGATCTCGTTTTTTCTCCCGATCATAGATGTAGAATTGTGATCTGTGTGCGATCGTGCATTCCTTGAAAGCGCTAAAGGCACTTTCTGACATCGAGAGCACTTCTCAAGTGTGTTCTTCGTTGTGCTGAAGTACCTTCAAGCGTGATCTTCTCGATTTTCAAGTGTTTTTCTCCAAATATGTGATGATAAAAAATTGAAAAATACAATTTTTTATCTATGTTAAATGACCTTAACCGTCTGGAAAACGGTCACAATGAATATATTTAGAACTCGTTCGACAAAATTACCCACAATTTTCATAATGACAGCGGTTTTTTCGCCCAAATTCTCGATCAGCGCGATCGCTCATCTCATCAATGAGGGCCACCATAGCGTGCCTCGGGGAGGAAGTCGTAAATTACCTAGTGATATTGATAATATGAATAAGTAATGACATGGGAAGGCGCAATGGCGAAAAGTGAAGCTGCAAAACTGGCTGATCATCGATCGCCGTATGGTCGCAAAGTTTGGATCTTCAGATCACAGTTGGGGAGGGAAAATGGAGAAATTTATGGGATTGCTGTGACAAAAACACTGCAGAGAGATAATTCCATTTGATATTAATTACTCTCTCGCCGTCTCAGCTGTGATTTGGCGTCTCACTCGCGATCGTACGTGATCGTGGCAACAGGTGGCGGGCTTCACGGTGAGTGGCCACACGATCGCGCTCCACCACGCGAAATGAAGAGCGGTTAGTTTACAGTGAGATGTGACTGGAGTCGCACGTGAGGCAATCGTCTGTCGAAGTGGGAAGACATAGTGATCTTGCAGTGATCTCTGTGATCGATTGCAATCAATTGATAAGATCGGATTGAGTGACTGGGAATCTTTTTTCCCCCGAAAACACTGTGAATTATTGGATACATTTCACTTTTCAAGCTGATCATCAAACTAAGGTGACTATTATTTAATAATTTCATTTTGTAAAGAGTGATCTTTCACCTGAAGAGATTCTGTTGGTATAGAAATTTTGGCGTGAATTTCCTCGCAAAATCCACCGCTGAAAGAGAGTGAAACGGAAGAGGAGGAAATTTAATGATGGAATTACTTAACGGTAAAGCGTTCCGAGATGATCAAGAGATTTTTATGATCGCTCCAAAGAGGAAAATGTCTTTCTGTCGAATATTCTCCCACCGAGAAAACCGCATACATAGAATTCTACGCCGCACAGAATCTCTAGTATGAGAGATAGAAGTATGGCCACGAGGAACCCGTTAATGATCATCTATTGATCGCGACTCACGATCGCGATCATTTTGCAACTGTACATCGTTACAAATTTTCATATTTGTTATTCAATGCGAAGAGAGAAGTGAATTTGGGTCTCACTGGGCACTTCTTTCACTGATTACACGCACCTTCTGAAGTGCTAATGATCGTGTGAGGATCATTACCGAAAAAAGTGATCTTCATAAGTGGAGGGATCTCATTTCATTTTCATCAGAAGCACGATCTCTGACTAATTTACCTGTCTCTCTGCATGAGATTTGCTGCAATTTTGTGCCTCTCTGGAAAACTTCCACGCTTTTATGATCGCTCTTTTTTAATTTCTTCATTATGCTAATTATAATTGCAAAATAGCCAAAGTGTATCTTGCGGACTCTCTTTCTTCACTTTGTGTCATGTCCGAAATGTCTTTTGTAATTTTTGTCTCGCGAAAAACAACTTTGAGGATCCATAGCAGAAAGATCCACGAGATCATTTAAAAACTGATTAAGAACAAGCTTTAAATGCCACTTTGGCAAGTCAATTGAAGGCGGTCGCGGTGAAAAGAAAGCCTCAAATTGAACTAAATTCCTATTTAGAGCCCAACAATTCTTGTTTGTTCTGCAGAAATCCATGTCAATTCGCCGTGATCTCAAATGCAAGAGAATGATCACGCATCATGTGAATCCATCGCGTATACGCGCAATTCAATGGCAAAGAGATGTAATTTTACACAATTTCTTCAATCCCTGTTTCGCGCTCTCTCGCTGGCTCTTTTTTCTTGGTCGCCCTCGAGTTCTTCAGCCTCTCTCGCCATTGGTTTTTAGTGTGGAATCACAATTATTTTGTTGCAGCTGCCATTAGTGGGATAACTGTAAGCCTCTCCGGGCGTCTTTGGTCCGCGATTGCGGCCTTCTCAGCTGGAGGAGATTCTTTCAGATCATTTCCTTCTAACTGTTCAATTTGGAAGCGCGCGCGCGCGAGTTGATTTGCATAAGACATTCTCAGCAATCAATAGCCACACGTATGAGAATTGTCGCGATGTGAGACTGAGGATCAAGAAATCCTTCAAAAATTGAGAGCAGAAGCCAATTGACTTGCTAATGCTGTAGCACATTAGGCAATGATCCCGTTCTCAATGTCGCGTAACTCACAGATCTCTTTTTGTTGCCACTGGTTTTCTTTGAGAAAGAGCGCCATTTGACCTCAAAATTCGTTGGCAAAGGCGAAAAAACACTGGATGCTCGATGGACTGTGACCAAAACAGCGATTGAGTCACGTGCAGTGCATCGGAAGCTGCACAAAAGACACTTTTGTCAATAGATCACCGTATTCTCTTGGCCTGATTGGGGCATTGCGATTGTTCCATTCATTTGTGCGGCGAATTGCGCATTGGCAGTGCAGAAAAGATCTATTTTTATCCAATTTGCTCGATGATGTTGCCCAATTAAAAGCCAATTGGCTGCAGAGAGGGAGAATAGGTAACAGTGGACGTGGGTTAAATAGCACCAGCAACAATTTACTTCAATTCTCTGTATAGGAAGTTTGGAATCAGAGGCAAAATGTTCAGTGCCAATGTACAAAACAAAGCCATAAAACTTTAAGGATCAATTAAAGAATGCTGCTAATTAATTTTGTAATCACTGTTCATTTGTTTGCAACCTTGTTTTTTTTATTCTCTCCAAATTCAACAGTTGACGAACTTTTTGGGCCATAATTCATTCTTTCTCTCCTCAATTACCATTTCTTTGGCACAGCCAGTATTCGGCAATTGAAATGATGTCTTTCTCTGGCTGAAAAACCTCTCAAAATGCATAAAATTTTCGAAAGTGCCAAATTGACTGCTCGTGCCGCAAAAAAGTTGTACAGCACGCTTATTGATTTCTTGAAAATCAAAATAATACAACTTACTCAGCACGGCATTTCTCAAGATACATTCTTTTCCTGTGGCAAACAATTTGGAAATGGTATTCTTTCATTTGTGCGTTCGAGGGGAGAAAATTAGAGTCACGAAGTGCCTCATTGTTCTCTTATTTCCTCTCTGGATGGTTCTTGAAGAGGTTCTCCGAGACACATGTTTAAGAATTCCTCACGTGATCCATCGTAATTTATACACATTGTCTTGTCTGTTCTTTGTCGCCAGAGGAGCGCTCTTTGAAGATGATGCTGACTGTTTGGGGTCAAAAATGTTGTGGGGAAGAGTTCTCACTATCAATTCAAGTGTAATTGGCACTTTTACAAGACGTGCATTCCCGTGAAAAAGGGGAGGAGATTTCAGACGCGTCACTGAGCCGCCAAAATAGGCAACAAATCGCGCACATTTGCATTTCACATGACGACACATTTTGCGTTTGTTGCAAATTTGCCATTCAGCGCTTAGATCAATCATAAAAATTACCTTTGTCATGTGTCACTGAATGAGGGAATAAATTTCACTGCAAATTGTTGCCGCTTGTCATTGTGATCGGAAAAGAGCAATAAAATGCTGGAGATGAAAAGCGAAAGAGGTGGAAAAAAGTGCAGAACGAAGGCTGAGAGCTCTGGCCGCATGCTGGCGTGCATCGAGGGGGAATATCAATTACACAGAGTGCCTCTGCGCCCAACTGGGAGGACTGAGAGCTCAGCAGAAGAGCTGCAAAGTCATTTTCAGCGGTTGCACAATAACTCGCGGGATGGAGAAAGATCCGCGGGAATTGTATGCAAAGATCTCTTGGCTTTTGTGCGTCTGATGAAAAATCACGATTGAAAAATTCCCACACAATTCGCCAACGTGTCCATCAAAATATTTAATATTTTACACGTTGAGACAGACGTGGAATTGATCATGAACGTCAAGAAGAGTCCCTTGAGAGCTTCTTAACGTTTTTCCCGATGATTTGTGTGCTTCGCTATTGTCATGGGAGAACGCGAAAATGGACTGTAAATTGTGTGTCTTTCACGCTTGACGGATAAAAGGAAGCACACATACAACATTCTGTATGAGGAAAAACCGCCAGGTTTCTTCAAGGCTCTTTTTTTTCGTAACGAACGCGTCTTCTCTGCACGTCACTTTCTCAGCCAATTTTCTCCGGTGCAGAGAACCATAAGAACAATTATCTGCTTATCTAATTATAGCAGTGATATTTTCTCAGCGCTCCCGAGAACGTGATGTTTATGCAAATACGCGTGAAGATTCTCCACCTGTTACTCTCGATCCCTCATCGTCACGCTCCGGCGACTTCTGGACGCTGGTCTCTTTGTGTCTTCCGGGAAGAGAGTATCAGCGGTGGCCAGAGGCCTCAGACTGTGAGAGAGGCGCATAAAAAGCCGCGCGAAGAAGTGGATTAAGAAGTGCCCAAGTCAATGGCCGACTAGAGGGAATTGTTGCAAGATGAGAAGCATTCTTAGGCTCTCACGTGCCGAAGGCGGAGCCGAGACAATTCATCATGATATTGATTCATTTGTCGCCATGTCACGTGTGTCGAAGGGCATTGACATCGCGCGCCCACCCAAAGAAGGGCCACAAGAATGCGAAAAAGGTGCACAATTAAAGTGATTAAAATCCCTTCGAATCAATCTCTGGCATCTCAAGTCGATCGAACCCAAGATCGAACCTCATTAAGTGTGTGGCTGCAATTAATCTTCGCACTGTGCGGAGTTTCCATTTCAAGCCAATGACCAACGCATCGCGCAAGAACCGTTGCCAGCTTCCCCAGATGTACACTGAAATGTGGAGAGATTCTAGCGGCCACGGTGCATCCTAACGGTCACCATACTCGTCCCATTTGACACGGTCGTCACTCCGAAATGACCCAAATTGGCTTCCTGGAAAGTGCAAATCGCATTCAGTGATTATTTGAGATCTTCCAAGAACTGATGGCGGAAATGGACGCACCGAAATTGCATAAGAGAGTGGCTTTTCACACATTTCTCGGTTTCATCTCATGTCATTTCTCGCCAGAGATGACGACGATAATGAAGGCAAGACAAGAGTTGACTTGAGAGCAAATTGTCACTAAATTGCACAATTAAACCTCTTTGCCTCACTCGGATCTCAAGTTGTATCTCTGCCATCGCTGAGATGCAATTGTTAGGCTCTTGAGGTGATCTCGGGAATGAAACGTAGTTCAGCTAAGCGCACCCAGTCATGCGAAACACTAAAGAGACCGCCAACGAGCATACTGCATATGGTGTATTATGTTTAAGTCTAAGAATGGGCGGGACATCTTTGTGGGCGGAGCCTATTTACCTTTTCTTCAGTGCAGCACTTTAATGGGCAGTATTTTTGCCAAATTACAGTCCTTTTAATTATGTTTTAATTCTGTGGTTTTGATACGCTTTTTTGAGCAATTCCAGAGTAATTGCAGAGGAAATGACTGGAAATGTCACACAAGGCAAAGTTAATGACTGTGATTTGTCCACTGTATTGTAAAATTACATTTGACAAAAATAATGGCTTTGGAAAGTGAAGAAATTAGTTTGTGGGGACACAAAGAAAGAAGTGAAATATCGCACTTTCCATCCAACCACCCTTAAATATTTGCCCTCCAGGGGAAAAACCACTCAAGATCACCGTCTTTGTCGCCTTCCAGCCATTGCCAAGTGTCATAAATGTGGCTCATTGTGCGGCTGGGAATGCCAAGTTGCGCCAGGTTAAGTGATTTAGAAGCGCGCGCGATGGGAGTTTTGCCGCAAAGGCGGTTACTATTTACAATAAATGGGTATAATGATGCTAATAAAAAGGGCAATTAAATTGCAATTTCACTTGCATTGTCTCATCGCGACGCCGACGCGGAGACGAACACACGCCACAAATAAAAGTGGCGCAGAGACACTGTCTTGTCTGATCCTCTGGCGTGAGATCTTCCATGGTTAAGTAACTCGATGAAGATGTTTATTGGATGTCACAGGAGTGGATTTTCGCGAGGAGAAATCAGGGATTTCAAGAACAGGGTCATTAATCCATCCCAAATACCTTTCTTTAGTCAATGAACTCACCTCTTTTCTCTAACATACTTGGCGTTCTCTGTGCATAATTTCCATTGGAGTTGTGCTTGATAAAAACCCCACAAACAAGATGAAGAATTCCACTTGTATTCGTTTATCTAAATTACCCTATTCATAGGCTGAAAAAGCATTAAGCAAATGCGCCTCTCGGCAAGGAAATTGTTTGTAAAAAAAAACACAGAAGAAACATTTTTTTTCTTCTTTCAGCCCACAATAACAAATAATATGTGTATCAAAAATAATTTCTTAGCACTCTACACGTGTTTTCCGGTTGGTAGGAAAGAGAAAAATTGTGAAGAAATGCATTGAAATTTATGCGAATTTCCGCAACTATGACGCCATCATTTCAATTTCTCACCCATTCTCCTCAAAAAAAAAAAAAACGTATAAAACAGGTGCACTTTTGTAACACAGTTTGCCTATAATGGGATCTTTTGCCAAATGAGGCGCGATGAAAGTGTCGCAAAACATGTGTGGAAGTTGTGCCGAAATTTGCGAAGAAAGCGAAAATGGGTGAATTTGTCATCTTGAGTGCTTTGAGTGCACTTTGCAGAAAAATGGACTATCAAAATTGCTGTTTTCGCGATGACAGTGGCAGATTGTGCACTTGAGAGTCAGAAAAGCTTGTGAATAGGCCATAAAAGTGTGGAACACAATGAAGCACTTCATGAAAGTTTGTATGAGATGATATCATGGGCGCAGGTTTTTGAAAGTAATTCGCCCGCCACAGGAGTCTAATTTAATTACTGGCATGACATTGCGCGTCTCACGTCAAGTGTTCTTCTCAATTTTGCGCTGCGATTATCGGCGAAATTGAATAGGAGCTGTGCGTCAAGAGAAAGATGAGGTGAGAGCAAAGCCCTGCGGAGACACTATTGACCCGCTTTGACTACCGAATTCACCAGCAAATTCAAATGGAATTCCGCTAAATTATCTCTTCACTTAGCGATGGCATTTCTATGACCCGATGGCGCCGCAAGCGGCCCACTTTGATCGCGCGGGGTCGCGGAGAAAGTGCTCAATCGATGATCGCACAAATGCATTGGCCAATTGCACGCCATCACGATCACAATAGATCGATGTTTGGAGTTCCCACGCAATTGCAGCGGTCAATTTGGGTGAAAGTCCGGCGATCGTGGAGTCCTCGTGCGCCATCGGACGACACATTTCGAATTCAAAAACGCAACGGTCTGCGAATGGACTCTCACTGACCCCACCAGAGTTGAGCAATATATAATACAAAAAGGTGGCGTAAATAATTTTTATTTGTTATTTCTCATGCCATCCGTGACTTTTCATCGCTTCTAGAGGCCCTCTTGTTCTGCAAATCGCCACTCTTTTTTGTACGCGCGCTCTTTGTGGCGAATATAGAGTGGCCGATTTCTGCTTCCTGCTTATTATGAGCACTTTTGGATTTCCTGAATGGAAGATTTTCCCCAAAATCTCGATGGCCATCGCACCAGAGATTGTGTTACTTCTCTAGGGCATTATTAAAATGCGATCGCATTTGCATGTCATTTTCTTAGGCAGTATCTCTTGGCATTAAATAGATGATGAATTGGTGTGCTCAATTTCAATAATTCCTATTCAAAAAATATAAATATCATTCCATGTAAACTGTAAACTGATCTTTTCTGTGGGAACTTTTGAGTGGGAATATTTGCAAAAGCATTTTTTTTTCTTCACAAAATACAACCATTAATCACAGCATGACAAAATATACTGATCGTTGGGAAATTCAACGTGTGAGAATCCATGAAAGTCACTTGTCCTGGATGACTTCCTCCGTTCTTTGCTCTGGCTCTGTTGGTCATCCAACGTGAAACCACATGCCAGAGTGAAAACGGATGTGAGGGAGAAAGACAGACAAAATATGTGACAAATTTCTGGAGCGAAACGTAGCAAATTTCCCTGCAACTCCGCGCCAATATTCACTTAGGCATTGCAATAAAGATTTTTTTCCATTTTTCCTACCTTTTCCAGTGAGACCACGGACGAGAGGAGGAGAACGATGGCGCCTAGCGCCGGAAAGAGCGTCCCAGGCACTCAATCCCTGATGCGATCTGCCTCGCAGGACATGTCATCGGAGATCCTCATCGGCTGGCCACCCAACAATGGCCTAAAGGTATGAGAAAATGCTGTGCAGAAATGCATAAATATCAATCGAGCGCGCGCGCGAAACTGATCTGAATGACAATGGAAGCCACAGTGAAAGTCAATCTTTCTTTCAACCAATCATTCACACTTCACCTGCCGCGGGATTAATTAATATTTGATGGAAAATGACTTCTGCAGAAGAAATCAGTAAAAAAAGGGGACAAACATTACCGCAAAGATAAATATTAATAGCTTCTAGGGCGGATTGACTTTGAGTGATTAGCACAAATGAGTTCCTTTCTTAACTCACGATATCGCTAATCAAATAATAACTTTGACTTGCTAAATGGTGGGTATATTCAGCGTATACAAGAGAAATTGTCTCCTTTCTAGATCAAATTTCAATGGCTTCAGAAGTCCAGAAAAGAATCGAATTTGCCACTGTCAAATTTGTAATCTTGAAATCTTGATATTTGGTGGCTTGGATAGATAGTTCAAGACAGACAATTTCTCTGGTTATCAATTTGTTACCATTGTCTTGGATTTTTCAATTATTCTTGGAAAAAAAACCATTAATCGTAATGAGATGAATATGATGGAAAGCTTTTAAGTGGAAATGAATATCCGAGTGCAATTTATCAAGACAAGATAATGAGCATAAATGATTTTGAGGCTGATTATGCCACATTATCAAGTCGTCTGTGCTGCCATTCAATGCGTCTTGTGTACAAACAATGCATGTCTGGAGGATCTGATGATTAGTGTGATCGTGGGAGTCTAAAAACCACCTGTTTGCAGTCGATTTTCGTGCTAATTGATGTCCTAAATGGAGAAATAATTGTGGAGAAAGAAGAATTCACGAGAGACTCTTGAATTATAACTCAGCCCCGATTGTTTCTCATTAGCCTCCAATTCAATCCTATATATTTTACCCAGCTTCTCAGCCCTTTTTGACATCACACACCGACAATTATCAAATGATGTGAATTGTCTGGGCAATTTTCCATTCCCATACTGAAGTGGGTGTGAGATGAATTAAATTTCTACCTTCTTGGAGTGCGTCTCCATTTTTTTTTCTTCTTCTCCGCCGCCGCCACTCGTTGTGGATGCACTTCAAAAAAAAATACCATCAGCGCTCATCAAGATGTTGGAAAAACGCATTTGATGCGTTTGCTTGTAACAATGAAAGAAAATTACTCGTCTTGTGCACACATACATTTCATAATTTTCTCTCTAATTGACTGCGATCTTGCACTTTTCATGCATTCACTTGGAAATTTTCTTTGAGAAGCGCACTTGTGCGATCGCGATCATGGCAATTTGCCCTCCTCAATGTTGATTTTGGTTGATTGACTTTGATGTTTCAATGTGCGATCGAGTGGGAAAACTTATGCACTGGCATTTTGCATGATTTTCGCCGATGAATTGTTGAATGCTTTTCACCTGCTGGACAGTGGAAACCGCGCGCGTGGTGTAAAAAATGATTTTCTCTTTCTGTACGGATGGCAAATGAGGCACTCTTTTTTCATGCTGTCTCTCGCGTGAACAAATTGAGACGTGTCACGAAGAAAAATCGCGGGAAGGCGCACATCTGCGTGTCAATGAGGAATGTATCTTGCTTGACGCAAAGAAGACAAGTTAGAAGAAAAAAGTGGTGTGATCTCAATTGTTGCTCAGATCACACTGTTTTTCATTCCTCTCGGCAGCATTAATAGAGTAATTAAAGCCCTGAAAGTTGGGACAAAAACCATGTGCGCATATTGCTGATGGGAAGATTTTCTCTCTTTTTCTCCACCGACCAGGACAATCAGAGGCCACCGGTTTACAACCCTGAGGACTACGTGCAGTCGCTGAAGAAGTACAGCCGGAGGCCGAACGGCGCCTCCAGGTCGATCTATGACAACACTGAGGATAAGACAGATACGATCCGGTCCAAGACATTGCCACCGCCAGCTCTGCGGAGTGGAGAGTACAAAAGCCCCATCCCGGCGCACTCTGACACGGACACTGAGATGACACTGCGCCAGTTTGGCTCCATCACGGATCTGCTCACGAAACTGAGGGCAGATCTCAGGGCGGCATTCCCAAGGTAGGCGGAGCTTCCTAATGGGCGGAGTCTCTCGATTTATCTTCCAAGAAACATCACAGAGCCAACAGAGAGAATAGAATTGTTGCGCGAGTTTTCACTTGAATTTCATATTAAGCATTTCGCAAGCTTACACGAGAACAGATGGATTAGATGAGTTTCCTGTCTTGCGGCACGCTATTAACATCCAGAGAATAATCTTCATCTTAAACCTTAATTAGTGTCACCAACAATGCCGCTAATTTTCCCAGTGCGCGACCCACAAAAGGTCCCAGAGATCGCGATTATCTGTTTTGTCTCTGCACTTAACACAACAAAATATTCCACTAATCTGCCATCTGGGCCGCCTAATCCCTTCACCCATCACAACATGATGAAAGCTGCGAAAGAAAGGCAAATGCTCAGCGTGATCAAGTGAAGACAGATTTGAAATGAAATAATTAATTGAATGTTAATGGGCGGATTTGAATATATTTCTGACACGATGTGAGAGTCTTTGATGCAAATTGAGTATTTCTGAAAGTGTGTGCTCTTGAATTCTGCAAATAAAAAGTGGGTTTTCCAGTGATATTGAACTATTTGTGGCGATTTTAGAGGGATTTAAGCTCTTCAAGTGGCTCAAATTGATAATTTTTGGTCTTCTTCGTTTCAGCTTCGTACAGGAGTTCGTGGCCAGTCCACTGGATGGAGTCAGTCTCTTGCTGGACGTTTTGAGAGCCATTCAGCTTAGCCAGACCAGCACAGCGAGCGGCACTGTTTCCACGCCGGCGTCTCCTGGCCAGAGGAATACCCAGACTTATCAGAGAAGAGCTCTGCTGGATGAATTGGCATGCCTGTGAGTATCTCGCAAAGCCTCCATCGCGTCATGTGTCTAATCTCTGGCGTTTGTAGGCAATGCATCAGCCTTTGCTGCGCCAGGACTTCCGAAGCTGGCATCCGTTTGGGCTCTTCTCCCATCGGATTGCTTCCTCTGGCAGCCGCAGCCACAGGACAGGGCATCAGATCCCGCGTCCTGGCCCTGCAACTCATGACCACAGCCAGTCCCAACGGACACAGTGCAGTCTCTGAGGCTCTGGCCACGCTGAGGCTGCGCTGTGGAGAGCCTGTGCGCTTCCGATTGCTGGTGGGAATGCTGAACAGCGGCGGAGGCAGTGGAGAGCTCCAAACAGTGGGATTGGGTTTCCTGAATAGCTTCCTGGAGAGTGCGGAGAATGTCCAGGAGAGGGTTTACATCCAAGCGGAGCTTCACCAGGCGGGATTTGACACGAGTGGCATGCTGAGGAACCTCCCAACCAGCTCTCCGTGGATGGAGAAGCTCAGAGTGGAGGTGAGACGCTGGGAAGAGGGCAAGATTGACGTGGAGAGACTCCAGAGGCAAGCCAGGGAGGCTGAGAAGATGCGCAGTCAGGTGGTGATCCTCGAGAGGCGAGTGCAGATTGTGCAGGAGGAGAAAGCAGTGCTGACATCAATGGAGCGACGTCTTCAGGAGCGCTGTGCTGAGCTGCAGAGGGAAGTGTTTCGTCTGCAGAACTCCCAGGGCAGTCAAGCCGGCTCGGGCAGTTCCATGGTGAAGATCACACAGCAGGAAAAGCGCCCCATCGCCTTGCCGAGGCAAGTTCCGCCGACACCGCCCAAGACACGCCCTGGTGGTTCCTCAGAGCACGAGGATGAGGGAATCAGCAGCTCAGAGACGGGACAATCCATGAGTCCTGAGCCTCCGCGCGTCCTACCGGTCAGTGAAGCACCGCCGGCTGATGAGGACTCTGGCACGACGATCGAGGAGGTGATTGAGGAGTTGCAGAACATCGTGAGCGATGCCGAGAGGGATTTGCGACGCAGTGGGACCAAAGAGTGTGAAATAGTGCCGGTGAATCTCCTGCCTCAGCCGCCAAGGAAGAGTCGATCTCTGGCCCACTTGATTGCCACGCCCAGCGACGCCGAGGAGAGCGACTATGGTGCCCTGACGCAGCCTCCGAATGACGGCAAGGTGACGCCGTACTGCGAAGAGGAGGACGAGACCAGCAGGGCGTCTCCGTACCGCGGCGGCTCGCGGACGGGCTTCGACACGAGCACCAATCGAGCGATCCTGAACGTGATCATGGACGCGCGTGAGCAGGAGGAGGAGAGCATCCTCCGGCGGCAGCAACGACCTCCGCCGCCGCCGCAACACTTCAACGGCGTCTTCTTCATGGGCGACATGAGCAGCAAATTCCCCAAGGCGTCCGTGGGCAAGTCCAAGAGCATGGACAGGATGCAGGGCTACGGCCTCGACACGATGGTGGACATCGTCGTGGCGCCGGACGCGCAGAAGATGCGGCCGCCCGTGGCGTGCAGCCTGCACGCGCCGGCGGGCTTCAAGATCAAGACGGGCCACGTGAACGCCGGCCTGTACTCGGGATCCCACCTGGTGCGCGAGAACATGCGCGCCCACTCGAACCAGGGCTCGCGCCTCACGGATCTGCCCTCGGGCCTCTATTGAGCCCCTGCGGACTCTCCTCCTCTGTGCAATACACGGTGATGGCCTTCCTCTGCATCTCTCCCGGGACACACTGTAGTTAGGTTTAGGGCAGCTCTGTCTAGCGCTAGGCTTTTGCGGCTCTGCCTCGCAGGAGCCTCATTAAGTGGATTATCTTCATCTCAAGCATAAACTCTAATAGCTTTAGTTGTGCGTGCAAAATTGTATTGTCTTGTTTAAAACACTCTGATGCAAATATATGATAAAACTGTGTGACTCTCTGTTGGCAACAAGTTTTCACCTGGAAAAGCGCCGAGTTCGTGCCTGGCAAAAAGCTCCCACTTGTAATTTCCGATAATTTGCTTTCACCCTCGAAGGCGGGGAAGAAAAGAGATTTTCTAGGTCATCGATATACAGCCATATTTGCGGGGCGCAGGACGAAGTCATTTATTCAAATTGAACGTGTCTGTGATGATTATTAAGCGAATGACGGGGGAGAGACGCTTTTTCTAACTTCCACGGAAGCCTTGCATGTCGTGACGCTTTTTCACCCTCGCGCCCTTCGCGTCGTGGATGCAGCTTTCAGTTGCGTGAGTGGAAAAGAACAACCGTTTCCTCAACTATTCAGATTATTTCACTTCAAGTCAGAGTTGACACACAAGATTGTCTAATCAGAAATTCTTTTATTTCTGCATTTCTACTTAACAGCGTTTACTGGTGTCCTTATTTCTTGCCATCATTTTTGCGGAGAATCATAACCCTTTCGCTGTGATACATTTGATTTCCATTGGCTTGCTTGAAATGTTGAGCTCGATGCTCTTCAAATATCTTCCCAGCTCCCAATTCATTGTTTTGAGGACAATTGAATTTTAGCCCCGCCTTGTTGATTTTATGAACTTCGTTACCTTTAGGCTGGAAAATTGAAGAAAAAAAAAAAAACAATTTTTTTAATGAAATAGCTAAAAACGGTTGGAATATTATAACCAAACATACAATTCGGACGTTATTTATCGAAAAAATTCACCAGTTATAATCTTAAATTATAATTCACTTCATTTACTTAATACTTCAGCAAGAAATCTTATTTATCATTCATATGCGGAACTAATTCAGAACTTTAAGTATTTTATGGTCTCGTTCAGAGTCTTTAGTGTTTTTATGATTTGTCTTAAGAGATTCTATTTACTTCTGAAATACACTACTCGAAGAAAAAAGGCACCACTTAAATACTATTGTTGCACTTCATTTACACTTACCATTGTTGCTGATTGTTGTAACACTTCGATCTTGCTAGAGATGCTCACTTATTAAAGCTCAAATTGAGACTAATATCATTTAACCAAGAATTGACCTATTTATACGATATTTTTGGAGGCGCGAACATCTTATCAGCAGCGGATTTGAATCAATCAATGATTTTATTGAGAATTTCCGCTGTCGCTATTTCCACGAACTTCAGCAGATGTTTGATATATCTTAAGCTTAACTTTCTGAGTTTTGTCTCAAAAATTTCTCGGAAAAGCGGAACTGGGGTCGTGAAATCTCACTCTATCAGCAATGATAGCACAAAAAATGCGTGATATTTTCTATGTTTACAATCAATGTCGTTGACATTGTCATACTTTTTTCTTATCAACCACGCTAATATCATTGTTATGTGTAATTGTGAGTAAATTCATAGGCAAATGATAGACAAATCAGATCATTTCCCTGCGCGAGAGGCATTCAATGAAGCCGAGCAGTGAGAAAACCCAGTGTTGGCAAAGTCTCTGCCTCGCCCGCGTTCGAATCCTTGTGGTTAGTTTCTGTGGAACTCCCGCCTTTTCGCCGGCTTCACCCGCCAGTCGCCCGCGAGTTCCCCACCGTGGATGTTCTTTTGGGCTCATGGCGGAGGCAGAGGAGCCCGCGGAGACCGCGGAGGAGGCCGAGGCTCGCCAGCGCGAGAACTACGCCAAGCGCGAAGTGGCCGCCGAGTGGCGCGTGCCGCTGGGCGGCCGCGTGTTCCGCGTGGAGTTCGAGCACGGCACGGCGAGCGGCCGCAGAGTGCTGTGGGTGGACGAGCGCGAGATCCTGCGCCGCGACTGGATGTTCAAGCTGGTGGGCGAGGACGCCTTCCACCTGGACGGCGTCCGGTGCATCCTGCGAGTGGATCCGGCGCCGGGCTTCAAGTACTCCTACTCGCTGTTCGTCGGCGGCCAGGCCTTCGACCAATTCACCGAGCGCCAGGCCAGAGCTCTGAAGGCCTGGGAAGTCACAGTCAGGGATAAATTCTACCGAATAGTTCTCGGTGAGTTGCACACAAATTGCAGGAAGGCACGAAATCGCCAGGAAGTCATTCGCTGTTTATCGACGGTATTTCTTAAATATTTATCAACTAGTCGCCAGTTTTATTGATTTGCCTCTGTTTTTTCTACAATTCTTTCTCTCAATTTGCATTTCTCACATCGATTTTTCTTAAAGTGTGATTTTCTTTGTGAAAATCCACCCCTTTTTGTGTTTGTGTGTGAAAACTGGCCTCAGCGAAGGTGAGAAAACTGAAAAGGGGTCGTTATTCATTCATCAAGTGATTAAATATTTACGCGCTACACATATTTATGGGCTCGTCAAACTGTTTTTCAAGGTGAAATTGACATTGAAGGAAAGTGGATTTCTGATTAAAAGTCTCTTGAAAGATTTATGAAGTGTTTTGAGCCATCAAAACGCCAAAAGATCTCGATTTACGGCACAAAAATATGTATATTTTCATTGATTTTCTTAAATGGTCAATGAAAAGTTAATTGATTACTTTTTTCTGCAGAAATTCATCAGTCAAGCTATAGTTAAATTGCTCATTAAGTCTCTCTTCTTTCTAGTTTTAAGGAAATCAATAATTATTGATTTTTCTAACTTTAAAAATTTAAAATAAACAATTAAATTCACAAAGCATATTAAATTTTATCAAATTATTCGTGCTACTTCCGAAACACACGAAAAGCACTTAATAAAGCTGAAGGGCTTTTTTGTGCCCAGAAAGCTTCTCAAAATTCTTGACAATACAAAAGAGACTCACCAGTTATTTCTTCTGTCAAACCTCTGAAGCTCAACACAAATCTCTTTTGGTTCTTCCTCTGCAGAGAAGGACTCTCTCAACGTGTACCTGAATGGGAAGCTGCGCGAAGAAGTGGGCGAATTCGTGGAAGGCGGCGCTGACACGACTTTCCAGGCCGATGGCAACGTCTTCATCCTGCACAGTCGCTCCAGCGGAAACAAGCGCACCGGGATCATTCACTCCGTGACTGTGAATGGCGCCCAAGTGTCCGAAGTGGACATCAAGTAGCGCCCAACGCGAGGGTTAACGCAGCCGAGACACACACGCTGGCAGTGGAGACGCCGGGTGGGCAGAAAAAGCTCTGGTTTTAATGAATTTTCATGCTATTTTTCATTTCAATATTGTTATCATTAATATTTGCAATACAAACCATTTGATTAATTCATCATCGTAATCATATGTTTCTTCATCATCATCATCATTTCAATGTAATACGTAATAATAAAATTCATACAATAGAAAAAGGAATGCGTGAACAAAGATCTCAACATTTTCATAAAAATCGCGTGTGTGTGTGTTTTCCAATCTCCAAAGTTTGTGGGGAAAGGGAAAATTTTTCTAAGTTTTTTTTTTATGCCTTAAACAATGCGCTTTCTGAAGAAAGGATTTTTTTTTGTTTGTTTTCTCTTCAAATACAATTCAATTAACATGTTTCTTATATTCTCTTCTTTCAAAGACTCTCGCGAGAGAGTGGAAAATTCTCATCAATAAATATCTATTTTTTTCTTATTATTGTTATCAATGGAAATTGATAGAGGAAAAAATATTTGTGAATATTTGTGATTTAAATATACTTGTTTCTCACCATTTAGAAATTCATCATCTTTATATTTATATATATTTAACCATCCCTTTCATAAATTTGCAAAGCAAGCTCACAAAAATATATACTGTTCAAAAGTGTTTAATAAAGAAAGAAAAAAAAAACTCTAAACTATAAACTTGGTATCTTATCTTGATAAGAAGCAAAGAAAAACTCATAAAAATACTCAGAAAAAATACATGAAACGCCAATGAAACACCAACGAAACTAAATCCCCAAAAATATGAGACAATTTCTTATTATTCCCTAAACATTCTGTCGCAATTTCTCCTCGATTGACACCTAAATATCTCTCTCTCTCTTACTGTCGTGACGCATAAATTTGACAAACAGACAATGTTTCTTCTCCATCGCTTAATTCTTCTTGAGCATCATTAGTAAAACCTCTAAAATTCTAATTCTTTGTTATTTCTTTCACTGTTAAAATGCATGTTGGAATTGTTCAAAAATGTTTGGAACTGCTTTTAGACGCCACTTCATTAAAGTTTATATATACTATATCATTTTTTTTGTTGTTGTGTGTGCAAAAATTAAGTAAATATCTTTTCAAATATTCATTATATTCATTTTAAGTGCCTAGAATGGTATTTTTTATTAACTATTTACACACTTTCATCACCTCTGCTTCTGCTTCTGCGATTGCGGTTTCTTTTTAAGTGCTCAGCAGTTTTTTCTTAAGTCATTTTCGCTTCTATTCTATTTACAACATGTTTTTTTTTCGTTGATTTTCTCAAATTTCACTACTCTTTCATGTGTGTGTGTCTCTCAATCCATATTTGATTTCTTTCTTGTTTTCTCAGTTCAATTGTTTTTTTTTATTATACTTTTATCATGTTTCAAAATATTAACTACAGTAATAATTTTACTCTATATCAATATTCTTCTACGTTTTTATCTTCTTTAGAACTGTATTTTCATCATTTCTCAAAAATAATATACCGAAAAAATACCATTCGCTGATTTTTCATAATACTCAAGTTTCTTCCTCGTTTTTTTTTCGCTACTTTCTTTTTCTCTCTCTCTCTTAATACTGGCAAATATTCAAAATGTTATTGCATGTTTCATCTCTGCTGCGCAACAAAAAAAGAATAATTTACACTGTCTTTCAAATTTCTATCTTCAGTGTTTTTTTTTCCCGTGAAATTTTGTGTCTCAATTGAAAAACGCGCTCCTTCGACACTCTCTCTCTCTCTCTCTCCCCGTTTTCGCACTATAAAAAGTCCGGCTTAATTCAATGGAAGGCAAAACATGTGCTGCAGTAGACTCTTGGATGGTGGCGGAGGTAATTGAAGAATGCTGAGATCATCCACAACGGAATCATAGTCGCTGGAATCATCGCCGTACACTAGCTAAAATGTTGCTTCTTGTCAGATTTTTCTATTACTCTTTCTTTGCCCCTCTTTATCTCTGTTTTCTAACATTTGTTCTGTAGTCACGGGGATGCGTGAGAATTTCGACAGTCTCGATAATTGGCTTTAACGCATAATATTTTGTGTATTTTCATAACATTTTTTTTGGTTTTATTTTTAGTGATGTGTGAAAAGGTGGAAGAGAAGGTGGAAGTGTAGTTTGAAAAAAAGAAAGAAAAGACATAAATTTAACATCATTTGTCCACCGAATTATCAAGCGTCGCGCGTCTCACTTTAGCACATCTACCGACAGGACTGTTTAGAAAAGTTTGCAGCAGAGCAAAACTCAGGAAAAAGGAGGGAGAACACACAAAGGGAATTCCATACGATGAAATGTGTCTTTGGCATTTCTCAGAAAACTCTTTGAAATATATTATGATAATTGCATTTTCCGCCAGAAGAACATTATCCTGTGAGAAATACACTCATGAAATATAAGACGAAAAACGTATTAAATTATCATTCAATTTTTAGTACAGAAGATATCCTCACATTTCTTCTGTTTTTTTTATCTTCAATATAATAAAATTAAATATGAATTATAGTTTGAAATTCTGTATTTTCTTGGCAAAGTTCAAAGAAAAAATTTTCACACTAAAATCTCTTCAATAATTGAGAATTATAGCAATTGAATTTCCCTTTAACGTGAAAATTACAGCTAATGAATCTTGTTCAGTTGTTCATTTAGTTAAACACCAGTAATTTTCGTCGAATTCTCCCACAATCTCCCCCCTTCAGAGATGCTCTGCGCTTCAGTGCAAATAAACATCACACAGCATATTGACTCACCTGCGAATTGTAGGGATGCAGCTCACACGACGCGTGGTGTCAGACGCAATCCTCGAGCGACATCAACAGCGGATTCACATACTCGAATCCCTCGAATTCCGACTGGTCAATCTTCTCAATCACCCGCCTGCAAAAGCACACAAGTCCATTAGTCACTCTGCCATCTTCACCCAACCGCCAGTCATTTTCCAGGCACGAGAGTGAGAGAAAAGCACATTGAAGCACACGAAAACGCGTGTAAAAGAACACTAGTGCATGCACTCTAGAGAGGAAAAGAACAGAAAAAGGAGAACACTTACTCATCGTCCGGCGTCAAGTGAACTGGCTCATCCGTGAACTCAGGTGGGAAATTGGCCAAATCTCTATCAGAGTCTAATCTTGGCTTAAATGGAGGCGTAACTTGCTTTTGCTCTAGCTAAACAGTCGCCCAAGGCGGAAACATAAGGAAAAAAGAGAAAAAAAAACATAAAAGAAATAAAATAGAACCATGCAAAACATCATATTTCTCCTCCACAGGACCTTCAAATCCCTTTCTCTCTCTCACTCTCTTTCTATCTAAAATAAAGGCGCGTGTGTGCGAACGAAAGGGCAGCAAAATGCAGAACACAGAACAGAGCCAAATGCCGCGGACTTACGGGTCGTCCGGGGTCAATTCGGCCGGCTCCCGCGTGAACTGCGGATCGAAATTGGCCGCGAGATCGGGCTCCTCGGGATCGAGGAAGGACGGCACGTACGGCGGAGCCACTTCTTTCTGCGCCAGCTGCAGAATCGAGGGCGTTTGCGTGGACAATTGAGTGAGAAAAGGGAGTTCAAATTGCCCAATTATCCCACTGAAAGGCAATTCTCACGGCGCGTCCCATTCTAAAGTGCTTCGGCTGCAAGTTTGTCAAGAATCTTATGAAGAGTTTAGCGAGAAATTTTTCTAATCACCAACACTTCTTTGGTCTCTCAGTTTCATTGGTTTGTACTTCGATTTTTGGATAATTTCACATTTCAAAACCAGTAAACATCGAAATATCTATCGCTTTGTCAATTTCACAGCCAATTTGTAAATAATACTATATTCAATTGTAAAAAATGACTCTTAGAGTTCAATTCATGACCAAAGAAGTGCCAAAAATCTCTCTGAAGCTCAAAATTCCCACTAAAGATATGAAAAAGGAAATTCAAAACCTCAAGTCTCTCAGGAGGTTCATCCGCAATCGCACTTGTAGCGTTTTAGAATGGGATGCGCACTGTAATACCCCAAAATTTGACATGGATTATAATGCGTCAGTGTTAATGAGTGGGAAGTGAAAGGATGGCAAAGAGTCTCACCAGCTCCCAATCGATGCTCTTAAAGAAGGGATGATTGACGATGTCCATGAAGGCGGATTCCCGCTGGCAGCCGAGCCGATCGGCGGGATTCTTGTGGAGGAAACCTTTGAGAACTGAGGCGGCTTTCACGCTCAGCGAGCGCGGAATGCGGATGGTCTTCTCGAGAATGACCTGGAACAGATAGTCCTCTGTGTTCTGATCCGGATTGTCCGAAGCGCCGGCAATGTCGAATGGACTGCGCCCGGCCAGCATCTCGTACAGCAGCACACCGAGTGCCCACCAGTCCACCGAGAAGCCATAATCCTCACCGCGGAGGATCTCCGGAGCGATGTAATTAGGCGTGCCGCAGAAAGTAGACGTTGTGTCGCCTGGAAGAACGAGAAATCGCATCAAAACAGCGCTCAGAATCATAAGAAGTTTCTTGCAAATTATATTTTTTGCATGTCAATTAATCAATGCAATTAAAGCTCAATTTGCTCTTTTTCCCCCATAAAATCTGTGTTATTAAATTTTCAATCCACAGTTTAACAAAATAAATACTTAATTAGAATTTTGTTTGACTCATTTTATAACAACACTTTCGATGCCCTGAGGAAAATCATGCTGTGAAAAGCGTCAATTTAAAATGTTCTGCAACATTTATCTTCTCATATCTTCCAAAATTCCAACTCGATTGCCAAAATTGATTGCCAAATTGTGTTTTCTGGCAGCCAGATGAGTTATTGTAATTGCATTTTTGGCTAAAAACACTCACAAAAATTATCTGGAAATTTACCTGGTCGAATGCCCTCCTTGCACATGCCGTAATCCGTGAGCTTGATGTGCCCCTCGTGATCCAGCAGCACATTGTCCAGCTTCAAGTCACGATAGATGATGCCCTTCTCGTGCAGAAAGTTCAACGCCAGGCTGATCTCGGCCGCATAGAATCTGGCGTGCTCCTCGGGCAAATGGCGCTGACGCTGCATGTGGAACATCAAGTCGCCGCCGCGCACAAACTCAATTACGAAGAACAGTCGCGACGGCGTCTGGAAGCACGAGTGCAGACCAACGAGGAATGGATGATTGGACGCCGTTTCGAACACGTGCTTCTCCGTCTGCACCCAATCAATGTCCTCATCGTCCGTGACCAACGCCTTCTTGATCACCTTCATCGCGTAGATCCGGCGCGTGCGTCGCAACTCCACCATCAGCACCTTCGCATAGCTGCCGCGCCCGATCACGCGGATCAGCTCAAAGTCCTCCAGCGAGTACTGGCGCTGAGCGCCCGGCTCCAGGGGCTCCTCTGAGCTCTGCAGTGCTTCCACGGCCACATGATCACCACCCTCGGCGAGTTCCGGCGCGAATTCGGGCGCCGGCGGCAGCAATTCCTTCTGCACCTCGCCATTGATGTCCTGCAAGCAAAAGAATTTCACCAGAACAGCATAAATTTCCAAGCATCGTTCATATACTTACATCTCTCTCCTTCATGATCGGCTTCTGGTGCTCATTAGTGCAGGGCTTCTGCACCATCTTGTGACACTTCTTGTGCACCAGCAACTTGCACTGGATGCACTTGAAGCCCTGACGTCCCAGGCCCCAAATCCTGTCATGACAGTAGGCGCAGAAAGCCCTCTGCAAACACAGAACAACAATCATTCCAAAACCATCTCTTCCCTTCGCATCCCACCGAAACATTCACTCACTCGATTGAAACGCTTCGCCTGGAATATGTGACCATTGATCCTGTACAGCTTGCGCCATCGCCGAGCACCTCGTCGATAGATGCTTCCTGCAAATACCGAGAAACAGTCACAAATTGCAGCAACACGAGAACAATTTCCCACACCCTCATTAGCACAGAAAAACACCCGCCCGTTCAACTTTTATTGTTGAATGTTTTCCCAGAAATATACAGAAATGTTATGCACTTTTTTGTCTGCCATTCTCAAATACACAATTGCAAAAATATCCAATTACTTCCTATCGCCTCACACCATGAAAATGCATTTTCCGCATTGCAATTTCTGCCTATGGCTGCACAAACTCTTCCTTCCACCATCGCGATATGTATTTTTGCATTCTGAAATCATTTCCCGGCACTTTCAGACATGACAAGACAAAACATTGGATATTCCTAACAAAGTCCTTTGGAAATTCCACTCTGTCCATGGACAATTACTTTGGAAAGTTAGAAAAACCATAAATTTACAAACTTTTGCCCGTATTTTCCCTTCAAATCAAGCAAATAAGTAAGTTTTCTCGCAAATTGATCTCTTTGAGAGCTGCAAATTAACCATAATTGAAGCCACACCACTTCTTCTATGTAATTTTACTACCTCTTTAATGATCCATAGGAAGCAAAGGGTTTTATTTTTCACAACCACTTTGCGCACACACAAAATGTCCTCAAAGTTTCCCGCACCGCGGAAAATGCTAAATATTCATGACACGGTGAAGTTTTCAAAAAAAAAAAGAACCAAGCTGTGTGGCAAAATTTAGAAACAATTAGCATCGGAAGTTACTATGGATATTTTAATAAACTCACTCAACAAACTTTTCAGCTCTAATTGAGTCAAGAGTGGCCAACATATGAGTTGAATTTCTATTTACATTTGAATTTTTCTACCACTTTACAGTGTTTGCCATCACTTTGGAGCGCTCTATAATTGGACGTAAAATTCACATATTTGCCAATTTTACCAAGATCTGACTGAAAGAAATTTGTCCAATTTGCATTAATATAAAACTTGTGGTATTTGGGAATGGAGAAAAAATATTGTCTTTTAATCTCTCTAGAGCGCTCCTTTTTCCCACCGCCCTCGTCAATTCTCCCCGCCTTATCGTCCATCTCGCCATCGCTAATCCGCAAAACACGACATTTTCCCTGAGATAATTTATCAAAATTTTTAATGGCCATTTTATTCCTCGCGCTGTGTCACACTCTAAGTCCTCGTGATGCGTGTAAATGTCGCGAAAAGAAGCACTGTAATCCCATTTCCAGCGGCGATTTCGGTGAAAAGTACCTCAAAATTTTACACGAATTCTGCATTATCCTTAATTATTTAATGTCACTCTTCTTCTTCGGCCATGTCACCACGGGAAACCGACAAGAGGAAAGGAATCAGTTGAAAGAAATCCCACACAAATTGTGCGCCTCCCGAGAAGTCACTATGCGCTAAGATAGTTTCATATCCTCGCTTGTTATCTTTCGGTAGAAGTTCTGGGTTGAAAACTCAAGAGAAAAAAAAAGACAATTGAATTGTCTTCACATTCGATGGCCAGAAGAAGAAGGAGAAAATAAATAAATAGAACTTCTCAATTTCAAAAAGAAGTTTCCACGTCTCACGAAGAGATTTTCTTCCCCAGCGGAAATGCCAACTTGTCTCTCTCCAAGATCTACGATTCCTCGCAAAGCGAATGTTTTTAAAATTGTCAAAATAAATAACGATATGTTGTTAATGCATTTCAAACTGCACATTATATAGGAGAAGACCATTTTCCTCTTTTACTTAAAAATATTTCTGAACTTATTGTGTGCTGTGAAATTGAAAATTTTCAAGTGGAGCTAAATTAGCTTATACATATATAACGTCGAATTAACTCGACAGCTTTTAAACAATTCTCACTCTTCTCAGTAGTATCAAGTAGAATTACATCAATTCAAACTTCCCTTTTAACCCAAAATGCACTCAAATCATGCTCAAAAGTCCACACAATTCAGAACAAACAAACTTACAAATTTCATAATATGTTTGTTTAGAGATATTATTGTGTATAGCATATAATCAGGACTTTTCTCTATGATTTCAAAGTTTACAAAGTGAATTTCTACACAATTTTGCTGCTTATTTTTCCCATCTCTTCCTTGCTGAAAACCCCTTTCAGCCATTCATACTTAATTGCAGTGGATTTGTGTCAAATCAACCACACTTTTCCTCATGCATTATTGGCGGCTTATTGATTAGTCGTCATGTTTTGACCTAAATTCTGATCACAAACTACACACACACACAAACACAGAAGCAATCTTGTTTATTAGCGTGGAAATTAACAAATTAGCAACTGAAGGTGAAATTCTGGAAGCGAGCACAGCTAGAAGCTGAGAATTTTCCCACGCTAATTCCTCAGGAGAAGCACTAGAGAAAATCGATGAGCTCAGAAGAGAAGTGCTGAGTCACTTTGGCACCGTATTCCAACTGATTTGTGGACCAGAAGCGGCTCAATTTATCAAATTCACATGCAAAATGATGACAAAAGGGCCACACCGGATGAGAAGAGATGCTCAGTGACACGAGAGAGGATGAGGAGTCACGGCGCCATGAGGATTGAGTAAGGGCGAAACTTTAATTCCATCCACGTCATCACACACACACACACACACACACACACACACACTTACACAGCCCTGCGCCTCTCTATTCCACTCTCCGTGTTCCTCAGGAAGAAAAGAACGGGAAAATTTCTCAATTGAGAAGCTCCATGAGAGCGATGAAATCCTATTAAGGAGATCTTAAGCTTCGGCTCCTTGAGAAACAAAAAGCAAAACTGAGAGCGAAATAGAAAAGTTATTCCTGTCGCGTTGGATTTCTCATGCTTTCGTTGAGCTTTTTTTCCCTCACAATATTTCCCCCCGCTCATTGTCTCCCTCTCTCTCTCTCTAACTTTCGCCCTTCACCCTGTATTTACCCACAGGATTCGCCCCTTTCCCCAAAAAGCATCACAGGCAATAAATAACAAGAACAATATTTATACTCACGATCTTCGCCAACGCAGGACATTCCCGGAGCAGACGGCACATTTGGAAATACTGCAAAGAGAGAAACAATTCAATTTATATAATCAATCAGCATAAAAAGCATATTCTTTTCTCTCCCTGTCTCTCTCTTTCTAAATATTCTCTCTACTTAATTATCGTATTCATTGGGGTGGATTTTTTTTCACTGTCATTCAACTCCACAATGAATGAAATGAATAAAGCGTAAATCATCCCCATTTTAGAGACAAAAGCTTCGGTAAATATTTGTTGAACTGACTTTTTTCGATAATACTCGCACATTTATTTACGCCCCTCACACATAAATTACCATTCATTTGATAAAGCATACAAACTATATAGTTTAGAGCTCAATTAATCATTGAGTGCAATTCCTCGGAAAATCCTCTTGAATTGTGTACACTGTACAGTGGACAAGAATGGCAATTTTCCACATTGATGCCTCGTCTTCCTCGCTTCCAAAAGCGCACACAATCTCCTGGATTCTCATCACTCAGTTACGTGAGACAGCAAACCACAATATCAAGCATAAGAAAGAGCCTTTGGCACTCATCCAACGGACCAGAAAGTAAAACAATTACATAAAAAGAGAGCCAGGAAAAAGAATATTATCTCCAGCATCATTTTCATGTGAGGTGAACAAGGCGCGCCAGGAAGAAAATTAGAAGATGTTTTGGCGGAGAAAATCTTTAAAATGAATTCAGAGGGATTAAAGGAAGGGCGACGGACGAAGATTTATCTCGAGGATTAACTCTGACACATCATTGTGTCTTCCTATCTATTGTCCTCTTCTCAGCTCTTCATTATTCAGGCGCACACACACACATAAAGAGGGAGCTTGAGGTGAAGTAAAATGGCAACAGTATGCATGATTTCTTGACTTTTACCCCTTCCTATGAACACCAACTTCCTTTTGTGTCTTGCAGGAGGATGAAGAGCGGATGATAAGGATCGTATTATCTGGACAAACTTTAAATCTTACCCCAAACGTGAATATTTCTCGCCAGAGTGCAATCTTCTTGGCACATTTACACCGAATCTCAGAAGAAAATACTGAGAAATTTACTGACTTATAATATTGCCCTGGAATTTCGTAACACAAGCAGCTTAGTATCTATTGAGAATCTGTAGAGATTTAGAAGCAACACTAAATAGACGACATAGTTTTCCGTTTTTTTTTTTGTACATATGTCCGATAGGAATCGCATGACAATTGAACGACTATCCAACACATTTCCTCTAGATTTGTTTGGTACACATAAGACATAATGTCAGACATTTCAAGCACTCCATTATTTTACATTCAACGACTCAACGATCGATGATTCTTGACGTCAATATTTGACTTTACGAGCTGAACAGTTTGAATTAAATGGACATTATCGTGTGTAAGCTCTTAAGCTCCACTCTCAGCTCACAATGCCCATTATATATCTACATGTTGCCATATATTTTCCATCCTCCCTTCGCGAGATAGCGCCGCTGAAATTTCCTGCAATAACTGTTGCATATTGCGGGAGAGGCGCGAGGGTGGCGCGGAGGCCAAGTGGCGCTCCCAAATTGCTTTCAATATATTGCTGAATTGAGCATTTTTCACATGGCGCGCGGCACTGTGCAAATTGATTTATTGAAATGAGGCAGCATATTTAAATGGAGTCATTTGGAGGTTATCTAGCGCACTTTTTCGGGACCGCAGGAAGTCCCTTTCTTGTTTGCCATGCCAGTTCTACAATAAAATCTCCACTCACTCACTCTCTCTCTCTCTCTTTCACTCATCCTGATGTTTGCTCCTCTTTATCAGCGACAATTCCAGCCACCCGTTTTATGGCGCACTTCCTCTGCCTTTCACCCGGACCACCGCCCTTTTGGAAGCGTCCAGGGGAGGAGAGAGGAAGTGGCCTTTTTCTTGCCATCCGCCTCGATCGATGGCCAAATGTGACAAAAGCACTTTTGCCGATGTGACGCAAGCTTTCGGCACTGCAGGTGGATTTCCACGGGTGAAAAATAGTTGTCTCACGCGAATCCCACTCAGCTTTTGGCCGCTGTTTAGGGGAGAGGTGGGATCCATCAATCAGTCCTCTCACTCTCTGTCCTGACCATCTTCTGATTTCTTTCGCTAACGCGTGATTAATCTGCCACGATTTAGTGTCGAGCAATTTCGACCGTGCGAGGATTTATATTATTAAATGGCATCAATCTTCCACTGCGAAGTACACTCCCCAATAATTCCTGCCACACATTCACTCACTCTCTCTCTCTCTTTCCCTTTCTCTACAGTGTATATAGTCAGTAAGCGTCCACTATTTAAGCACCGCGTGCGAATTTCTCCGCCAAATTACCCCGATTTTTATCCACTCTTTTGCCACCGATAAATTTCACGCTAATTTCGCTCTTTCTCGCAATAAATATCTCACGGGCAATTTTCCACGGTGAATTTTCACGCAATTTAGCACATAGAATTCGCTCCCTTTCTCCCCATTTTTCATCAATTTAACCCCTTTCTGTCCCTCCTTTGATCTTCCCCTCTCTCTCTCTCTACCCTCTCTCTCTCTGTCATGGCAAAGGGAATGAATATTTCCGGTGTCACATTTTTTCCTTAATGATTCACCCTCACACAGTGTGAAAGAAGTATTTCTCCTCCACTCTATTTGCATTTTCCCGACGCCTTCACATTCACGATGTGGCAGGAAAAAAGCCTCCTCAAAAGCACCAAAAGGGTGGGGGTGAATAATTACAAAAGACACGACAACTGGTGAGAGCTTTTTGGCGTGCTGAAGAGGACACAAAAGAAGGCAAAATATATGACTTGTAAATGTATTTTTGCCATTAATTTTCACTCGTCTTGAGGGAGATGTCATGAGCATTCAGCGAAAGCACTTCAGGTGAAATACAAGGTCTGTCTCGGGTGTGGAATTAATTTCTTCCACTTGTTAATGGGGAAGAGCTTTTGAAGGAGGAACTGCGAGCTCTTAATTAATAAATAATCCTGAATAGATTGCACGATGTGCAGGAAAGATGCATTAAGAATGAGGTCTTTCTACCCATGCTGAGGTTGCCAACTTTAGAGTGCTCTCAAAAGAGTACTGGATTACTGTGGATTATAAAATTCACGATACTTTAATGAGTGAAGACAAATTGACACTGCAAATTGCAATCGAAGAACACGTAATGACAGAACAAGATAGCATTGATTTGTGAAAAGTAAAGTAATAAAAGCAACTAGATTAGTTTCATGAGGATTCTACAATTTACCTTTCACAAATAGTTAAAACATCAATTTTCCATACAAATCCACCCAGCTTTTCTCTATTTTCCACTCGCTTTCTGATCTTTTCATGTCTTGTCTAAGTGCAATGGTAAGAGATAAAATCACTAGAGAATTTCTCCCCTTTGAGTGCCAATAACTTAATAGAATTTCTTAGGAAAATGTTCAAGTACACTTTCCTCCTTAGTCTGACCATCAAATGAGATTTCATTCCTTAATCCTCCTCTTCTAGAAATTGCACGAAAATCGTGCGATATCGGTGAGTCAAATGCTTCTTCAGAGGTAATTTTACACATTCACATAAATGGGCATGAATGTCGGAAAATCCACTTTATCCATTTTCCACTGCACCAAAATGCATTGAGACTGTCTCACATTGCAGTGGATTTTAGTTTTGGGGGAAGGGCGAGTGGTTTGAGTATGGAAAAGTGTCAGAGAATCTCCCAAAAAGTGGGAGTTTGGCTGAAGACTTTTCTGGCACACTTTGAGTCACATTAAAACTTTTATCGTCTCCTTTTGCAAACTGAGCGGGATTTTCTTGCACCATTTTCCCGTAGGCTCTCAATGCTTGGCCTTCGATTAAATTCAAATCGAAGACAAAACGAACAACTTTACTCCTTCGACGATGTTAAATTGACGATGTGAAAAAATTGCTGGCATTTAAGAAGTGCTCTGTTTTGCATTTTCCCGCCCCTCGTTGAATTTTCCGTCTTTCTCACTCTCTTCTTTTTTTGCCGGGAGAAAAAAAAAATTTCCAGGCACAACATCTCACGGGAATATTAATGAGATGCGAGGAAGTTTTCGCGAATGTTGAATGCTAGATGAATACCAAAGAGGCATTTTCACGTGATGTTTTCTCACCCGCGGCAAATTTAAGGGGTTTTTCTCTTTTTTTCATGAATTATCATGTGAAAAGCGCTTTAGGATGGCCAAAGACATAAAATTGAATCACTTTCGGAAGTCTGAGGAAAGAAAAAAAAGAGTGCACCCAAACGAGAAGATCAATAGAGCGTTAACGAAACTAATGAAGCTCTCATCGTCCTTCCCCCGATTTCTGGTCAGGCGATGGAGAGAAATTTCCCAGCTTCCTCCCCACGATGAACTTCCACAGCTTCCCTCTGCCATTATTCAGTTGCTCTGCGGAGCTTTTTTCCGGAAGCCCGCAGCTCTGGGCGGGTGTGGCATTAATGGACTTTTGCATTTTGTACTAAGCAACGGGAGAGTTGGCGAAATTATCTGGGCGGAGCTCTTTGTGGTATGAGCGATGAAATTAATTACATTGAGAAATACAGAAATTAAAAATTACTTCATTGCCTGATAGGTTGAAGAATTTAATTTATTATCTCGGTGTGGTGATGAGGAATTGTCGGGTTTTTGGGGTTGTTCGTTGAGAAGAGTGAGAATGTGGCTAAACCACAAACTGGGGAGAGTCATGTGTTTGTTCTCATTAAGTCAATGAGAAAGTTTTCCTCCTTACCAAAAACGAACAGAGAGAGAGAGTGAGGGTGAGAGAGAGCAGACAAGATGATGTACAACAAAGTGTTTGGAAGACGGAAAAACGGTCTCAATCCCTATGAAATACTACAGCCTGGGCACTAATTATAGCTCCACTGTAGGTATCCAGGGTGTAGGTAGTCTGGGTCAAAAACAAAAAAAACCAAATATGGTGTTTGATTGCCTATCCATAGCCAAAACAAAACCCCCAATATGAGGCCCCTCCGCCGGATCCTAGGGATTCTAGGGAACTTTATCACTTTCTGGCCTGGCA